ATGATATCAATTATTGTCTTAATAAATAACAATCTCTATCTGTCCATAACCAAGTTGCTCTTCTTAGGTGTAGAAGTGGACTTCCTAGAGTTAAACATTCTTACCAAACAGGAGACGATGCTCCTTTTTGTACAGCTTGCAATGTACATTTTACAGTCAAACATTTCTTCCTTGAATGTCATGATCTTGCACATGTTCGTGATAGACTTTTTCGAGCCTGCTAAGTCCCATGCATAATCCATATTGTTTACTTAAAGTTAATAAACCTGTACTAATTGACATGTACCAAGTATTTTTAGGCCTACTCAATTTACTCTTCGGTATGACCAGAAATGTGCCAATGTCGCCGATAAACTAAAACAAACAAACTAACAAGACCAGTTAGTAGATATGAAAATATTTAGTACAGAAATGGCAGAAATAAACTTAATTTCCACTACTTTACCCTTCTGATCTGGCTCGGCATATTCCACCATATCGCTGGTAAAGAGTGGTTATATGGTATTGACTTAACTACATAAAATGATTTAGATTATCGTCTTTTGTTAGTCCCCTTTTGATTAGGCTCCGCTTGGAATTGTTTTACAATTATAGTAAACTTAAAACTGTCACCTGATTTTTTTGTGATAATAATTTTGGATGGAAAAATAACTGCATCCGCTCGTGAGCAGGTATTTTTCATTCATGTCTGTTCCATGACGTATGACTTGATACACTTCTTGCTTTCGCGTGCTGCTAGAGAGAAACTGCAGTGACTTGACCAATAGAAACTTCATTCAGTTCATCCCTGTGTATTTCACAGGAAAATAATGTTATCCCTATAGAAAGCCCAAAACGACATAAATAAAAATGTTGCTCGATTTGATTTGGCCTGTTGATAGATGCAAGCAACTATTCATAAAATTGTATATATCTTTGCGGAGTCTTCAATGTTACGCCTTCATGTTACTGATAAACAGTAAATGGATGCAAGAAAACAACGCACAAAATTTTATTCATGACTTAAATGTATTTAGATGTTATGAAGCCTGCTCTAGTGAAAACCAGATAACCTCCGACTGAAAATGTTAATACGCAAAAAAAGAATATAAATGATTGGGCTGATTCGACTAGCTCATAGTTAAATCATGGACAAGCATGCTATTTTATAAAATTGTATTTTCCCTGCAAAATGCACGTTTAAGATCCCATTTGATAAATGAAAATGGAACGTAAACAACTCATGCCGATAATAAAATTAAAAAAATACAATCAATACTTTATCAAGTATTGCTCCATAAAATATAAAAGTATATATTGCGCTCGCACAATTGGCATGTTACAGGCTGGCTCATCACGAGTACAGGTATTCATCATTAAAATATTCCGTTCATCTAAATATGGTATTAAATCATTCTTCGTGAAATAATTTATTGTAAATAACAATATTTAATCAAATTATTTTAGCATTTATAGCTTAGAAAATGTACAGATATGATATGAAGTTGCATGTCTTCTGTTCTCTCTGCAGGTTGCTCGAATTTTTGGCAGGCATGTCTCTACAATCATCAAACTCTTCACCAAGTTCCAGCGCATAGGTCGTGTTGAAGATGAGCGCAGGCAACCTCGCAGAAAAGTGACAACTCCAGCACAAGATGCACAGATTGTTGCTGATCACCTTAACAACCGTTTTAGAACTGCAGCTTCAACCGCCAGGCAGACGATAGGCACTCATAACAGATCAATAAGCCAGAAAACGGTACTTAACCGCCTCCTTGATCATGGTATAAGAGCAAGGAGGCCGTTTCGTGGCCTTGTACTTACCGACGTACATCGCCGAAGACGTGAGCAATGGGCCCGCAGTCACCAGAGAATGACTCGTGCTGAATGGGCCAACGTCTTATTCACAGACGAAAGCCGTTTCAACTTGAAAAACAGTGACGGCAGGATGGGCGTCTATAGGCGTCGAGGCGAGCGTTTAAACGACAGCGGCGTTCACGAGCGTGACCACTACGGTGGGGGATCGCTGATGGTTTGGGCTGGGATTTCCTTTCATACTAAGACCAACCTCGTAGTCATCCGTGGTAATCTCAACGCTTTGAGATATCAACAGGAGATTTTGATTCCGGAGGCCATTCCTCACCTGCGTGCCGGTGGGCGAGGTATGGTTCTGATGCAGGATGGGGCGACCCCGCACACAGCTGCGACTACGGAGAGGCTTCTACGACAGCAACAAGTGAGAGTTCTTCCATGGCCGTCTAAATCCCCGGACATGAACCCCATTGAGCATTTGTGGGATGAACTTGGCCGCCGTGTTCGGAACGGACCGAATCCGCCCGCAAATCTTGTTCAGTTAGAGCAGATGCTGATCCAAGAATGGGCCAACATTCCTCAGCAGACTATTTCAAACTATGTTATGTCGATGAGACAACGATGTGCTCACTTACTGAGAGCTAGAGGTGGTCACACCAAATATTAAACCAGAGAGTTTTACCAGGACAGTTAAGTGATATTGTTGAGTGACTTTTCACATTGTTATTTTGCCGCCATTTTGCGACTTTGACTTTTTATAAGACTGTTTTTTTCTGTTAAGTTTGACATTTTATCGCAATGTGATTTGAATAAAATTCTACAGAAGTATGCATCTTATGTGTAGTGATAAATATCCGAAATATAACCTAAATTGATCAATACATACAAATAAAGCTGATTAACCAAAAGTCTAGTTAGAACATCCTCTCAGTGTAGATGATAAATCTAATACAGCTCCAAATGTAGTTCCTTAGGATCTCTGTCCAATGCAGTAGCATGCTGCCCTACTTCAACTCCGAATGTAGTGTTGTCCGCTTACTGTCAGCCTCCTCAAAATGTATTACATGAATATGATTGCACATTTTTGATATAAGTATACGTGATATACAAATTGTTGTTTGGGTTGAATCTAGATATATTCTTATTAAAGCTCTGTAAGATTCTTATTAAAGCTCTGTTAGATTGTTTTTTCTCATTAAATTCGATGGTTATAAGGTTTTTTGTTTTGTAAACATATTACTCATGAATGAAAAATACGAATTTTCATAACGTACGTAACACTTAGAAAAAAACGAATATTAATAATTTCCGAGCAATTGAGTTTTAATCAAATGATAGATCATATTTAACAAACATGACATAAACACGTAACGCGAAAAGTATGCTGTTGGTATATAATTTATCTATCATGATACATTTGTAAGCATGGGAAATGATTTTAGTGATACTATACTAAGAAACATCATACTACCAACATTATTTCTAGCAATTTTTCAACGATATAATGGATTTTGTACACAGAGTGCTGATTTAATGTCATGGATATTTCACCGTGTTAATGCTTTAAACATGTGTCGATGAAAGAAAGGATTATAGTAAAACTTGGATATTAAGGTTCATTATAGGTTTCAGATCCAAATTTGTTATTTACGTCTCGTCTCTATCATTGCTTTCAGTATCGTAACCTGCAACGACTCAAGCTTTTAAGACTTGCTCATGGGATTTTCCAATTTACCATTTTTACAATATATTCATGCGTAACATGGATACATGTGTGTTTTGATAGAAGCCACGTTTCTATTACGGGATATGCTGTACTACATATAATAAATGTATTTTCCTTTTTTTGACTGATTGGAATGAGCATTACAGATATTAAATGATCAAGGAATGTAATAACTTTGTATGAATTGTGCGATTTATCAGAGTAGCTATGTGGCTTCAGTGTTAAGAATTGTTAATGTTATGTTGTTATAAGTTTTTCGTAACCATGTGCTAAAACATTCTTTAAATATAATTAGAATAACCCGTCATGTGATACTGAATACTGTTTAGGCCCATATGAAATCAATCAAAGTGTATACACTATTATGAAAATATATATATATGTGCAATTTGAAGTGTTAATTGAGGTTACAGCGTAATATTTGAAAACCCATTAGCATTACTTTCACAGTGTCAATCAAAACAGAGGTGTCATCTTTGCTCTTCATCAATCAATATAAGCAAGTAAATAATTTTGATTTCAAATACAATTCTGCGAATCAGAAATAATTCTTTATTGCAACAAAATGTCCCGATGGTGAGCTGAAAATTGGAATTAATTTAAAGGTCATTGTCAGCGTTGGACAAAATGACAAAACGATGAGGTTCTGATCAAGTTCAAAGCTAAACATGCTTAAAATGTATGGAAAATGTATGGAAAACGTTTTGAACGTATCAGAATGTTCAGGACCAACGAACACACTCCAATGTATGAGAGACCAGCAGAGAGAAATAAAATACAACGTTGAAAGAATATATGTCAGCAAATAGAAACAATTTGGTTTTCAATTATTCGGCAGACGACCAAAAATTCAAACGATAACCAGAGATTTTCATAAGAATAATTAGAAAGTTCAGAGCCAGTAGAGGAAATGATCTCTAAAATCAACTTGTGGTATTGATATTTCAATTATAGAAAGGTTTTCTCAGTTACAGTATAATGAATTCCAATCATTTTTTATTGCTCAGTAGGAGTATATATATACATCAATCAAATTCTATTTGCATTAAATGAAACATAATTATGTTACAAAAGTTTTTCTTAATTAAGTGCAAAAATAGATACATTTCCTAATTATTTATACAACGTGCACTCTATATAACAATATATAAAACAAATAACGATTGCCAAAGTAAACGAAAACATAACACACACACAGACAGACAGGCAGACAGACAGAGAGACATACATAGGATGAAATGAAAAAATAAGAGTTCTTCGCAGTAAAGTTTAACTACAGTAACTGTCACATTTAAATATCCTTTATTTTTTGTCTTTTCAACTTCTGTTTCACAGAAAATCACCCATTTTTTGCATTTCGTTTCCAGATGAATCTATTAAAAAAATATATAATAAAGCGATAACGAAAGCTGTAATGCATCACTGTCAGGTGCCTTCCAGTGGACATTAGTATGGTATCATGCCATCGTCCTCCTTAAGACTTCTAAACTTTCTGGAATAGTTTTCTCATGCCTTCTCGAAATTTCGAACTCATCATGATATACAGTATAGGGTTTGCAATATACGTCACCAAATATGTTGTGTGAGTCGTGTAGCCTAGAACCTCACGCACTCCTTCCGGAAGATATAATCTGTCTCCAGCGTGTAAATAACCAAAGTATGTAAGTACCACTGAGAAAACGTTGATCAACGTAATCAGAAACATAATGACTGTAGTACGATTGACTTTCTTCTGTTCTTGGAGAAGACCGCTAGCTTGTACTATAAATAGATGAAACATAAAATCAAAGGTTGAATAAAGCGAATGAATACTGTTCATCAGAAATGAAATTTTTATACAAAATATGTAATTAAAGGTATCAAAAAGGCTAAAACATATTGCTTAATTCAAGGTAATTAAGAATCTTTTTTCTTTTTAGTAAAATATAAAATAAACAGAATTACAGCAAGCAACATGTAAAGTTATTATGACTTTAACTTGTGCACTTATCAAATACACGAAAATTGGCATATTTAAACAAAATTTAATGAGCCAAATAACAGTGTTTTATTTTCATTTTTTATATTAGAAACATTCAAAGTTACTCACTCGTATTTTCTTTCATGCCAAGGTTTCTGTTTTGTTTCTTTCTCAGTCGACTACCTAACGCCACAGCAATGCGAATATAAGCCACCGCAGTTATAATGTAGCTAACGCAACAGAGAAACGAGATAACGTACATAAATATGCTCCAAACAGATTCATAATCGTTGAGTAAACAAGCACCTGTGCTGACATCAAAGCGCTCAACGCCAAACGAAGGCATCAGAAGAACTAAAACTAATATGTAAACTGCTTTACATAGTATTTTAATTCTCGAAGCAGAAAAGGCATCAGATAAAGGTCGGCAAGTTTTCATGTACCTGTCAATGGCGACCACACCAAGAACCCATGCTGAAATTGTCACTGTATAAGATGTAAAGAAATCATACGCTCGACAAAACCACATCGATCCTATATTTTCCCATAAAACAGGAATATGTCTGAGTATATTTAACGTTGTACAAACAATGGACCCAAGAAGATCTGATATAGCCATTGCAAATACCATATAGTCTGTCGACGATTTTTCTGGCGAATTGGAGAACACGAGAATAATCAAGATGTTGCCAGGTGTTCCAATTAAAGCGATGATACCAGAAAATGCAACTTGTTCAACATACACCCAATCTGGTAATGTGCCTTTGGGCAAATCGGTATTGTTGTTCATGCTTATGCTGTATAAAACAAGCCTATGCCAAAAGAGTTTTCACTTCACAATTTAAAATCTGAAATAAACATTTTAAATTAGATAATAAATTTAAATTTCACGATGATAAATGTTTAAAAGTAGAACTTTAATAACTATATCTTGTATATTTTTCGCATGTAATATGAATTATTGTATTGATTGGAATGAGATGTTTACAATGATTGACAGTGCATCATGAAATGCTAATGTTTGCATATTTTTATATATACGGATATGTCCCTCGATAGGAAATAAGATAACAAAAAAGACATGCATTTAAGTCTATGCAATATTTGAAAGCATCAATGTACATTTTGCACATTTTTATGTAATTATTTATTTTATACCTATACATGTGTAAACAATGAATTTCCAACATTTGTTTCACGTGATTTCCAAATATAATTCATTATTGTATTCAATCTTATTTATTAAGCTTGAATTCGTTTTCTGAGTCAAAAACTCTCCATGTCAAATCTCTATTGTTCTCTCCTTCTTGTACGTTTTTTTTATATTTCAGAATATAATAGGTCTATATCAATACTTATTGTACTAGAAGTAACAGTGGTCTGTCATAATGTCAAAACATGGTTGTGTGAAACAAAGGAGCCATCCTAATGTGTTGAATACAATACCTACTCTGTAACAATCGTAACAGCTGCAAAACCTGTATTAGATTCGACTAGCACATGGACCAATAACGATTTAACATCTGCTTACTCTTTCAGTTTCATTCGGTATTGTATTCAACGGTGTGAAACGCTCTAATAAGACATAATTCCAATGAATTTATATGATGCTTTATTATTGCACGTTTAGTACATTATAGAGTGTTTGTATGATCATATGGAATGACATGTTATTAATGCAATCTACATATAGGACATATGAAGCACAATTTTTATCTTCATTCTTTGTCCCAAATTTAAAATTTACAGTTATAGCAATAGCAATAACTTGTTACTGAAAATGTATATACTTGCCTTATTTCCCTGTCAATAGTTCTGGATAAAATATCCAATATTGATATAAACAGATGCACCGGAGTATTTGTGTCTTTCTTTTCCTTATTGCTTTCTAATACTTTTAAGTATTCCAAATTATTTCATGGATATAGTATTTATAAAAAATCATTGGACACTTTCTAATCGGTCTGCTACTAAACCATATTCTATCTTTTTACCCTTACATAATTGTACAGTATATATACAAACGACATTACCTAATCTATGTTAAAGCTGAACAATATACCTTTTAATAGCATCATTAAGAAAACATATATTTTGTTAAGTCAAATTTTGCAGGTTGAACACATTTTAGGATTAGCTCTTTGATGGCCAGCCGATCTCCTTGGTGTTTTTACTTAATCATATTGTTGATATGACAGAAGGCCTTCGTTGATGAACTAATGACTGGATTAAATCACTGTCTATGTAATGATAATAATATCAAAACATTAAATTGCCATCATTATCCCATCATTGTCCCATTATTATTCCATTATTATGCCATTCTCCTTAAAATGTTGTTGTTAAAGAAATGACAAAGTACGGCTAATGTTTTATCAGTCATTGCCACTTTGGCCATTAACTGCGACAGTGACCGAGATATACATATTGGTATAGAGCCAGACCAACTTGCACATCCGACTGGTTTGTAAAAAATGTTATTGGCTTAATGTGTACATTAAATATAAAACGCCTTCGAAAATACAGAAAAAGGTTCTAATATATTAAAGCAGAATATTATTTCTTTTGCAACATTATTGCTCATGGTTACATAAACATAGAAATTATAGTGACTGATTTCTGCCATTTCGTGTTTTCGCGTCTTCGCCCCGACAGTCGAAAGGCGAAGACACGAAAACATACCTATTTGTCGTTATTTCGACTTTGCCATTCGGGGCGAAGACACGAAAACACGAAACATTTTAGTCGAAATAATGAAACTTTAACACGCAAAGTGACGAAAATTTCATTATTTAAGCTTTCGTGTCGGCGGGGCGAAATCTTTCGTGTCAGCGCTCTTTGTCTTGTCTTCGTGTCTTTGCCTCGAAACACGAAGGTCGAAATAACGAAAATACGGCAGATTTTCGTATTGTCGTGATTTCGCCCCAAAACGCGAAAGTCGAAGGAACGACAATGACATTGTTTTGGGTTTTGTCTTTCGGTAGGCATGCGCAGAACGAGTACACAAATGCGGTTCGCACTAAAATGCTGACGCGTTTGCTGACGATATAAAATATATAGGAAACTACTGACCAGTTAAATAAAGAATAATTATCATAAACTGCTGACCACATAGATAAAGAATGAAAACATGTGAAGGTGTGAAGTTGCCGTGGGTGTAATTAACACGACTGTAAAAGTTGAGATTTATTTTATTTTTAATCATCGTTTGTTGTTATTATTATTATTTTTCTTCTTTTATGTGTACTGAAAAAAGTCACAATAGATCTAGATCTTATATGATAAATTTGTATAGATTATTAATATTTCATCAACAGATAGGGGTAAGCTTAAACAACTATATGTAACATGCAGATTGTGTAACACTTAATTTCAAATTTTGCAAACAGAATTGAGAAGAAAATGGTGTTATGTTGACAAAATGTTTTAACAATTACTCATACAAAAGACACACAAATTGCAAATTTTATTCATAGATCGTATAAAAATTGTACAAAGATATAACCTTGTAATAATGGTTATGTAATTTAAAAGATTTGCAGTATGCATGAAATAATAATAATAATAATAATAATAATAATAATAATAATAATAATAATAATAATAATAATGATAATAAGAAAAATAAAAAAACAAATAAGAAATTAACGGCAAAATATCATTTTTTCTCTCTATAATAATTGGTCAGCAGTTTTTACTAACTTAAACGGTCGGCATAATTTTATACAATATATCAAACTTGTAGACATTACAAAATGAGTAACAATTTCACGGCAAAATATTTTTTCTCTATATAACTAACTGGTCAGCATTTTCCATATATATCTAACTGTTCAGCAGATTGAATAACAAGTTCACGGCAAAATATAGTTTTCTCTTTACATGTATATCTAAATGGTCCACATTTAATAACATATTTTGGACTGTTTATTGTGTTTTGTCATACTATAATACAAATGAAGAATGACACGTGTGAAATTTCTTCAAACTAATATATGACATTGGGGTATGTCGATATGGATATTGTGTATTTGGTAGGTGCGAATTTACAAATAACGAAGATTTACGTGCATTTTTTTCATTTTTCTTTTCCAGTTAGAGTTTCTAATGAATAGCGAAAAAATAAATAAATAAAATGTGCAATTATTCCATTATATGATTAATTTTCCGGCTCATCACAATTGATGAAAAAGATAAAATCCTGTTATTGTCCATGCAATTTTATTTCAGATTTGCACTCAATACGAAATAATCATTATAAATTGTAAATATATACAATAATATATGTATACAGTATATTTTAACTATGACACATAGTTTTATACATATTTGAAACAAATTATGATATGTTTTTTATGTAAGTACACCATATTATGACTGCATTATTTAAATGTCAACCAATATATAACACAAAGAAGACAATTCATTATCATACTGCAATTAAATATCATATCAACAAAAACAAAAAAACATCTGATCGAGTATCTCTCGACCTCGCCTATAATATCACCAACGGCAATTTGTAACCTTCAATGTTTTCCTTTCTTTATCTTACTGGTCAGCAGTTTTCGATAATCCTTCTTTATTTAAGTGGTCAGCAGTTTCCTATATATTCTATAGTGTCAGCTAATTCGTCAGCAGTTTAGTATCGCCTCTATCGGAAGGCGGAACACGAAACAATGTCATTGTCGTCACTTCGACTTTCGCGTTTCGAGGCGAAATCACGACAACACGAAAGTCTGCCATATTTTCGTTATTTCGACCTTCGCGTTTCGAGGTGAAGACACGACAAGCAAAGGGCGCGGACACGGATGATTTCGCCCCGCCGACACGAAAACTTAAACAATGAAGTTTTCGTCCCTTCGCGTGTTAAAGCTTCGTTATTTCGCCTAAAATGTTTTATGTTTTCGTGTCTTCGCCCAGAAAGGCAAAAGTCGAAATAACGACAAATAGTTATGTTTTCGTGTCTTCGCCTTTCGACTGTCGGGGCGAAGACGCGAAAACACGAAATTACAGAAATCAGCCACCATATAGATATACATAAATGTATAGTAAATAACAGTTTAGCAAACAAAATTTTATAAAATAAAATTAATTAATTAAAATATCGACTATGATTTAAGTTAAGACATAGATTACAATCGTGATAGTTATCACAATAAAAAAACTAATACATAATAACCAAGAGCACAAAAAGTTACTTAAAATTACTAGCATATTTATATTTAACAAAAATGTCAAGATATTGTAAAAGGGTATTAATTAAAATACCAATTTTTATTCAGTTAAAAATAAGCAGAATGATTAATATTATTATTATTATTATTAAAACATATTAATTAATACAATGATATCGGTCAAAGGGATCTCTGGTTACAAGGATAGCCCATTAAGCTCGAAAAATTATATCCAATCGAGTCCTATGAACCAGAAAGGAACAAGATGCAACCATATAAACTTATTTTGATTGGAAAAAAAAGGATGATGATATAACTTCAAAAAGGATGATAATATAACTTCGATTTGAGGTTATGATTTCTAAATATAATTTTTATTAATGGCATTTATATTTTAAAGTGCAAAATACCTTCGCTCATCTCAGAGGCTTGACACTTACACTTCTACATAAAATAGTAGTAAGGTGATATTAGTAGAAGTTAAGATGCCAAAAAATAATAGACAATTCACAAGGAGGTATTGTTAACTAGGTGAATTGAGTATTCTAAACGTCTGTTCCGTAATTATTTCAGTCACTGGTGAAATATAAAGTTTAAACTAAATGTTCAAATTACTGCAAAGGCACTCTGTTGTAGATATTCCAGGGAAAGATTTTATCAAGTTTAGAAACTTCTTTAAGTACCTTCGTACTGTTCTTCTTTGAGACCTTTGAAAATTGTTTAGATGTTCCCTTAAATGTAGGCATGTAAATAGTACATATTTTTACAACATTTGTCACTGGGCTTCAATGTTTTACAGTAAATCTGCAAATAGATTTCAACAGAGCATCCCTCTAAATGTAATGAACGAATAATGTAAAACTACTTTTTACTTTCATATTAATTAAGAGTACATGTATTTAAATCAATATTCTTCTTTTTTTGTATTACTACTATCTGTCATAATGTTTATATATAATGTTTCATTTATAATATATGAAAAGATAACTCATTTGATGAAGTAACTGATATAGTCAGTCGTTTGATAATCATGGGTATGTTTGTTAAGTCAGTCATTAACGCCCTAGTGCTACAACTTAATTTCAATAAATGAAATGTTTAAATTATCAGCATGTCTTTATTAATTTGTGAGCCACGCAATAGAAGTGAGGAACATGTCTTTATCATTGCTTGAGTTTTGTTACACTGCATGCTGAAATAGCGTTAATACCTGAAACAAGTGAAATGGAACAATCGATATGACATTGAATAAAATATGAGAAAATGTACTCTTGTTTCAATTTTATTTTGTACTGACAATACGTGTTATTAAGTCGGCAATACCTTATGAATATTTCAATGCGTTGAAAATGAACTGTTTGTGCATTTCTTTTCATAAATGTGAACAATATAATGCTCTGTTTTGGTAAAGATAATGACAATAAAATTTGATAATCAGAGAAGCATTTCTGTTTAATAATGAAGGAGTTATATTTTGAAATATAAACAGTGGCACTAAATTAAAAGGATTTACTCTATATACAAGTACCATTAATTTATACAATTGCTATCCTTTACCATACAGCAAACAATTCAATGCAAATTGCTGCATATCAATTGGTAAAAGTGTGTATAGCATTTCGTTTGTAAATTGCCTAAAACAACGGAATTAGAGAAGTTATTTAACCGAACTGTTTTATGTACTGTAACAAAAAAACATATAAATTGAAGTTTAATATAAATTTAACTCATACATTTATGTTAAGCAGACGTTTACTTCTTAATACAAAATGAATTATTGTCGAGAACAATTCTTTTAAAAGATGGGAATATGTCACTAAAGACTTGGCATTTGGTTTTACTTGCATGTACTGCTGGTATTATAGCAAGTTGTGTAATCGTAGCGCTAGCCATTTACTGTGTGGTATGCAAATCGAGTAAGAGCTCAATATCTAAAACTAGGGGCAGACGAAACACTTACGATATCGAGACCTCAACATTATCGAATAGGGCGGTGATGGAGAGAAGTGACGATCAATATGATAGAATTCCAGTTACATCAGAAACAACAGAAACCATGGTACAGGTATTAAAATATGAAGATTCTTCGGATTTTCCTCGTCAGAAATCAGTTATTGAAAGCACAGAATCTCATTTAAGTGAGGCACGAGATCCATTGCTAGAGCAGACTGCTATAACAGATGACGGCGAAGAAGCCGTTCCATTGGATCCCGGCTCAGCGCAATGGCCAGATGCCCCGCCTCCTCCTGACGTAATAGATGAGTAACATTGCGGATTCCAATCATTATTTGTGTGTTCAGTATTTACCCAATACCACAGGAATGATACTCTACCCATGATAGTTTTTGAGTAATTGCCCTTTTAGGTTTTTGGTATATCAACTTGAAACAAACTTTACAGGTGGACAAATCTCATTGAGGATCAATTGAGTACACAAGTATAATATCTTTTTCATTTCATCTTTGAAGTCATTGCCCTTTGGTTCTTTCTTGCGTTATTTTGTTTAGACAATAATAATTTTGTGTTATTGCCCTTTGTTATTTTTCTTGCTGGATTTGCAGTTTTGCATTTTTAGAGCTATATTTAAGTAGTCCAGCAAGACATCAGTGAAAACATGGAAATATGCTTTACTGCAGTAAAAAAATATTTCTATAGTGAAAACACGGACAATGAAAATACGCATTTTTGTCATCAACATTTCGCAATATTTCATTTATAAGTATGCAATAAAAGATATTTATAATGTATTTTATGATAAAATAACAAGTTTATTGTTGATACATTAAAACATGACAAGGCGCTTTTCTTTATATGATTGCACTCCCTTCTCGATTATTTCAGCTACTTGTAAACTTTCGTCCTTCGTTATAAGGGGAACTGCTTTGCCTGAAATGTATAAATAGATATCAAGTTAACATGTATCAACGAATTTAACAATCTTTTCGGTTTTCAATCTTACAAAGCATTCTTAACAATGTCAATAGTAAGTCGTGTTGGCTAACTCTTAAAGCAATGCAGGATCTTACAGTTTGTATGATTTTTCCGGCGAAATATAGTCTTATACTCTATATTTCTTTCATGTTCTAATGTTGTCAAACCCCTTACAAGGTCTAAGTCTTTATGGTGTGATTGGAACATCAGGAGAGTGTCATTTTTCGCGAGAAAAAAATAGAGAGGTTAATTTTGAGGGACGATTGGTTTTAAATTTAAACCGATGTTACGACACTTAGGTTACATACTCACCATCCAAACAGTCGACAAAATGTTCTAATTCAGCTTCAAAAGGCGCTTCAAATCTTTGAGGGAATGAGTTAAAAATTCGTCTGCTTCTGCCTCCACTTACACCATCTATTACTGTTGCACTTTCTCGTGGATTCTCGGCCAATGCCATGCCTTTGGTACCAAACGCCTTGAAATGATGCGTAGTAAAGTCAGTTATTTCAAGATAACAAAAATTCTATCAATATCATTGACTGACTGAATATAACATGTACATGTACCAGAATTAAGAGTCATTTGCCTTGCTATCCGTACTATCCTATAAAAATCAACTGAAACATCAGTAAATGTGACATGTTTGTTTACAAGTAAATATAACAAAACAAATACAATATCTACAAATTCATGTATGGTAATTTTCAAACGTTGAAGAAAAACCTATCTACCTCAAGTCGTATATCGTAACCATAGCAACTTTCTCTGAACACATCCATAGTAACCAGCGTTCCATCCGGGTATTTTATCATTCCCACCAGCGAGTCTGGTTCTCCGCAATCTTTAAGCTCATCATCATGTACATGGCAGTTAATGAAGATGGATTCCGGCTTCTTAGCTTTAGTGAGCCAGACTATCATATCTATATCATGGACGCCGAGATCGGCAAGAATATTACATCCGGTACTGTCTGAAAATAAAACGTTGTTATGGCCTTATATTCTTCATTTCTGCTAGCTTTTCTTCATAAGTTACCTTAGTTGTACATTCAAAGAGCTTACATCTAACCGCAACATGCTTGTATCTTTATTTGGAAAATTTACCTTTAATGGAGAGGAATTTATATAAGTATAACTTTACTTATTTTCCAATCCAGTCTGAATTACTTTGTTGTGAAATGTTTGTAAATGTTATTTTATGTAATAATTATTGCATAAATTAAGTTTAAACTATATCTTTGTTTTGTCTAAAGACCATACTCCAAGAATGAAAATGTTCCAAGCCCTTTAAGAACATTTCCTTAATTCAATTAACAAAACATACTTTTTAGGTATTAAATAATATAATATTCAAAGTCATATCAAATCATATATTATAGAAAAAACATATATAGGACAAACACATGTTTTACAAAGAATCATATGTATTTTGTTAAGCTGTTTCTTACAACTTAACATGTTCTGTAATGTAATAAGGTGAACATTGATTATCCACTGTTAGTAAATAATTTCTTCTAACAATATTTAAGTCTGAAATTTATTGCAAATGAGAAGCTTTATGTAAATTTACTAACAATAATACTAGTAGTAATTTTAACAGGAACTAAAGTAATGCATAGATCCCTGCCCTGTCTAATTCTAAATATCATGTTAGTGGATACAATAAGAATTTCACCATAACATTTTGTTAACAATAGAGCGCATGTCAACGTTTGTGGTATTCGAATAGAAGGTCAAAGTAGGGTTCTATCAATAAAAAAGTAATAAACTTTGGCTTATTTGTTTTGGACAACTGAGCTTGCATTCAACGGAATCAAACTGGAACTTTTAAAAAGTCATCAGTTATTCAAGTCGTCTGGTAACACAAATACCTGCTGATTTAAGAAATGTATACGATGGTTTTGGCGAATCTCTTGTGGTAGTTTTTATACATTGTAATTTCCCCAGACTACCATTGTCTAAAGCATTTTTCACGTCACAAAATTCTGCATCAAAACGTCTGAAAGTGTAAAACATGTAGCTCTTAAGGTACTTGATTTTTAACAGTTTTTCGTTTGAACAGTTTAAGGTATGTCAACGCCTGTATGGAGTATCATTTCTTCATTTATTTAACCAATTTCACGCTAAATGTCTTACATGAACATGTCCGTCTTTCATTCTGCAAAATCTAGCTTATCATTTGTATGGTAATTATCAAAGTACGTGTAAGTACTGATTAAATAGCGGACGATGCGGACCATGTTCAGTAGGTTCGAATATGCTTGCTGATCTTGGTTCGGAATGGTCTAAGAATAATAATCTAAGAAATTTTAAACAAAGACCATTTAAAACGAAAACAAGTTTCACAAAATATCAACCGCGTGGGATAGCAGCTTTAATATTATTGGCACGTGTTTCTTTAGTATATGAGGAAAAAGCGGTTATTCGAATTTTTCAAAAGATATACATCAACATATTGTTATAATGGTCTGTGGAAATGTAGTTGATTTACGGTATAGTTGATTTGATTTATGTATTGTTGCTTTTGTTACCGACATTTAACAGGATAAGTCAAACTGAGACTGTAATTTACGGCCATTGATCTTGCGAGATTTTACTATTACATGTAGCTTACCTTGTGTATCCAGTAACAAGGGTTAGACCGTTTTCTTCCGCCGTTTCATAACATTTCCTAATGTCTGACACGGACTCTCCGGCAGGCTTCTCCGTGAATACTGATTTACCTGCACACATATAATGTACTTGGTATTAAGTAAGATCATAATTCTCTGAATAAGGTTTTCTTAAAGGGATGCTAAATGAAAAAAGATTGCATAGGTGTGACTTTTGTGCTATTATCATAAATAGCTAATTTTATTTTGGTTTTTTTTTTGTATATCAATACATAAATGCATGACAAATTTGGCAACAAACTGCTGGGAGATGCGCCATTTCTCGCAGGAAAAAAGAACAGTTAAGATATGCATGCACACACAAAAATACGTGTAATAGTTTATGTATTATGGAGAAAATGTTTTTCTACACACTGCGTTTACTTGTATATTTGCAATTTTAGAAGCCTTCTTCTCGTAGATTATTACTATAAATTAGCTCTTACCCTTTTTAAGGCTTTCACATATATATTCTGTATGCGTATTTGTAGGGGACACAACAATAACAGCATCTAGACTGAAATAATAAAGAACTATTTAATACTAATTTTTGAATTGACCGTCTAAACTTAACAAAAAGAACCAATCGGAAGAATATACATGTAATGGGTCCAAGATTGTAAAGAAATGTTTTAATCTTCAACTCAAATCTCGAGAATCTGATTGGTAAGATTTACATTGTCAAATGAAGTTACTGAAATTTGAGACAAGGTTGAGAAACATGTTTAAAACCTCCACGCCTAGACATGATATTAGCGAGGAACTGTTACCTTTATCTTTACATAAAATTCTTACTTATAGCCAACAATTTTACAAATTCGAGTATAAAACAATACACGGTTACGTGTACGAGATTGTCCTGTATATTTCTTTGATTTTATATTATTTTGTCTATTCCTTTAAGATTATTTCGTTTATGTCTTTCATTATCTTTTATTTATCCATCTTTCAAAAGTAGGCGGTTGCAAAGTAATAGAGTGCAAAGAAAAAGAATGTATAACCTTTTATCAGACAGTAATTGGTCTCTGTCGGATGGCTTGTAAAACTGTATCTCGTCTCCAAGCACGAACTGTTCCTTTACCTCTTGTAATCTATCTCGGTCCTGCTCCACGATCCATTTTAGATCCAATCTACGATTGCGTAATATATTCTTCAGATGCACACCTGATAATGAATTAGAATTGGGATGAGTGTTAGGTCTTGCAGGTAAAAGAAATGTGTCTTTGTGAGAAAAAAACTAAGCACTCGTGCTTTCACATCCATGACAGAACTGAAACGCCTGTAAACATTAAAATTACTAATTACAAGGTTGTTAAGTACTTTACCAAGTCCTTATATTTGGTTTTAACGTCCTTGTCAACTTCTTACCGATAGGTTTAATACTAATCATCCTGTAGTATTGTTTTATATATTTCTACGTTTTAAGTCCGTTGCTGCATGTCGCCTTCTCCAAGTCGTGGAGTTCAAGATGTTTGGCTGGAAACTAAAGTCTTAATATTAGATTGGCTTGCGGAATAATTTCCGGCATAAACAATTCTGAAATAAAAGACAAAATTGGACATATATTTAAAATATTTCTTACGATTTCCTTTAAAAACAATTATTATATATGTTGCTATCAATTTGATAGGTGTGCGTTGATAAATGTATGAATTAAAAGCCTGGTAAAGTAATTCGTAAGTGCATGCTTTTCAATAAAGTCAGTGCATGTGCAATTATGTGGATTTAATTTCGCAAAAGAAAAATAGTCAAGCAAAATTTACGTGACTTTGCATTACATTTGTGATACACATAAATCTAAAGCAATAATAAGAACATCCTAGTAAGGTTAAGTTTAAACCTGCTATTCGTCCACATCCAAATAATCCTACTGAGTATTTCTTCTTTATTTCCCGACCACCATTGTCTGTGTGTATATCCCTCTTTGCATTCTAGTAGAATAAAAAAATCAGAAACTTAGTAAGGTGTGACCCTTGATATTACTTATACTGTGTATAACCGCTACCGTTACAAATTTCACTATGAAAATTGTTCGACGTTCCCATCTATTGCTATTACTATAATATTGTTTGGAGCTTTGCGTTGACCAGTAAATTCACTTTGTGCTCCTTGTACGTCATCTTTTTTGATTCGAAGATTTCCAACTAGTATATAATATAGTTACTGCATGTTAAACAGTTCATTTGTACATGTATATTTAAACTTATCTTACGAATGCATAGGATTAAAATACAATAATACAACACCTCAGTACATGTGTATACCTACTTTGTCTTCTATATAACTTAAAGAAGCAAAATTTAAAATTGATATTTAAAATTAATCTCAGTTCTTATTTTCTTTTCATGTAATAAAAGATCATACACTTAATTAGTCTAAATATTCAATTAGACTTAATTGTTATTCACAGTTCATTAACGGTCTGCGTAATGACACAAACTTTAATTCGAAAAAAGAGCTTAAGACTATGGTTGTCATTTTCCTATTAAAACGATTCTTTGTGTAATACTTTTTTTCTTTTGTTAAAGTTAATCTTAACGACTTTGCCTTGTCTGCATATTTATACAATGTGTCAAAAAATATAAAAGACAAAGGGATACATTATATTTTTGTTTTTACGCGAGTTTGAAATTTGTTCTGTATTAAGCATGCCGATACTACGGTGGCATAGAGGGGACATCAGCAATATTTTATCTACCATGTGCACACGCGATAGCAGATACTAAATGGGCACACAATAACTACTACGTGCGCACACAATAGCTATTTCGTGCGCATGAGATAGCCGCTACGTTGGTCAATCATTACGTGCGCACGTAATTGCTATCACGTGAGCACGAAATAGCTTGTACATGCGCGCACAGTAGCTATCGCGTACGCATGTGGTACCTATCACGGCCTCACCAGATAGCTATCGTGTGCGCACGTAGTAGCTATCGCGTGCGCACATGGTAATGAAATATTTCCGAAGGCCCATTTATGTCACCGTACGATGCGGATTGTCTTGGTGATTCGTGTGAAGCTAAACAATTCATGAAAGTGGAAAATCGGTGTATAAAGAATTGGTAATGGAATTGAATTCATATGCATGATTTGGTTGCTACTCGTCAAAGTCGTTTATGTGTCTATAAAGGCAATATGATCAGATACAAACAGGTCTATAAATTGGGAATATATATAATTTGTCAGTGGAATTTCATTTTTAAATAAGATGTATAAACATTTGAAATTAATGAATGGATTTTAAAACTGTGACGTAACTTTATAGTCTTACCATTGTAAGTTTTTCCAAAAAAAATAGGTCCCGGGTTTTTTTTTAAACTGTGACCATAGTTTGGGCCAGAACCCTGCCATTACTGATGCCGGTAGAATGGTTTATGGACGAAATCATTACTAACTGGCGTTTTAAAACCGCATTTGAAAAAGAAAAATAATATTTTACTCAGCTCAGGAACATTTTATTCTATTGACGTACAGTACTCATATGTGTTTAACAACAGAAATGATTTTTTATAAAAAAAACTTTGGAGAGTCGACAATAAGATTATGGAAACAAATTCATTTTAATGCTTTTGAATTCTATGAAAATATTCCATTGAATATAGCTTAAAATTTACATGGCAGCCGTAAAAAGTTGCCCCGTACTTCACTTCAGGGTTGTTATATTTTTCTGGTCCTTCGGGATCATTGAATTAAGCACTTTTAGGTGTTGAGAATTGAGTACCGCTCAGGTCAATAGGGCGTTTTGGGATGTTATCCTTTTTAATAATCCCTCACGTACAGACTCAATCAAACAATGTCTGCATTTTTCATTGCTCATTTTAATGCTTCCGAGTGAGAACTTTTTTCCAGATATTTATATCCTTTTACATTTAAACTTTCTACATCGTACATGTATTTGCATTTGTACAGCAAAGTCGTATCTGTAAATATTGACTAAGATAACTGTATGACCTATATAGATATAACAATATTTTAGAATGTTAAACAAATGTAAAATTGTAAAGTCAAAATCTAGGCCGGTACGTTGTATTACATAATATATTTGTTTTGCAATGTTCAGAAAACTAATGGCAATAACCTGGCAAAAAGTACAGTAATCTCAGCAGTAAATCAACGGTTTAAAATTCATCCGCTATATAAACAACATAAAAATTATTCTAATAAACAACATTGTACTAGAGCTTTAAAATGACAGCTGATCTTTGTCTGGGCAGGGTATAAGTTGCCGCCAGCAGTCTAAAGGTTAACCCTTGAAAATGGCGAAAATACGCCAACTTTTCAGTAGAATCCTATCTCAAAGATATGTCTTGCACTCAACATCAAAAACTGATCCCCTGTAATTGATGCAAACCGACCTACTGAATATCTACATTCAATGAAAACTTACAGATATACGAGTAAAAATAACACTTACATTCAAAACTGGCAGAGATAATATTCCATCATGCACCTTGGTACACTGTCTACTGGTCAAAAGTCCGAGCCTTAGTTTACTAAACATGGCTGAATCAACATAAAAGTTATTACTCTAACGTTTTAAGTATATCGCGATCAGATCACTATTTGTATTTCATATATACACTGTAATGTCTCGCTGACCTGGATATTATTTGACTAGCTGATAAGGGCTTTAAGTGCTATTCAAATATACGACCATTAAGTTTGAATCGTGTTTAATCAAATTATTGGCCAAGTTTATTTTAAATCATTGTGTAGTTGTTTTTCTTGTGTTTTTTTGTACCATCAGGCCGGGTATATATATATATATATATATATATATATATATATATATATATATATATATATATATATATATATATATATATATATATATTATATATATATATATATATATATATATATATATATATATATATATATATATACTAATATAAGTTGATGTATTGTTTTCTACGTTTTCTACAGAATTGATATACGTTTACAGATGGCACTGTTTTACTTATATTAAGATGCTTTTTAACCGATTATATAAGGATACATTCAAATTAGTTAAGTTTGGTTGCCCACCTTCTTTTCCCACGAAAGATTATTTTAAAAGTCCTATTGCCACCGGAAGTAAAAGGGGTAATGTACCTTGGTCCACATCCGTACCCCTACGGTCCCCTTACTTCTTTACTACTTCCACCACGATCTCTATATATTTATATACTTTAAGCTGCATACCTCAAGATGAGCCAAAGTATTTAAAGAAAATCAAACTTGAAAAAGATGTACTTTGGTTTAAAGAAAAGTAAAGGATTCCAGATTCAAGTAATATCGTACATGTTGTGTGATATTAATGACTGTTTTTTTTCAGTATTTATAACCATATTTCTCTTGCGTGACCGATGCAGTCAGGGCTATTTTGCATGTTTTAGCCTCTTTCTGGTTATTTACGTGGTTTACTTATGGTTTAAGTACCGTTTGCAATGTGTAAATTTCTTTAATTGTTCGCATCAAAATATTTTACTTTAAAATACCTTACCAAAATTTCCATAAAAATTAGTCAGAATCTGGAGACATGCTGCTATAATATCTATCTGAAAGTTGACAAGCAATCATTTAAGAAGTGGGAATGCTTTTAGTTGTCGTTCACAAGTTTATACATTCATCTTGTAATGATAATTTATTATCTGCGAGTTAAACATTATATGTAATATATATAAATAATGTAATGATATGTAATAGTTTGAATATGTACCAATATAACCATCTACAGTCCAATGAAAGGCTCTTCATTTAAAGCAGCACGCCTCCAGATTTATGAAAATTTTGAAAATGTATTAAAACATAAATATTGTGAATTGAACTAAGAAAATAACGTTTACTTTGCAAACTGCATTTACAACCCGTGTTAATTACCAAAAAAGGTCAAAATATGCAAAAATAGCCCTTATTTACTGCGTTAGTAACCCAATAGAAATATGCTGAAAAATACAGCAAAATCGGTCGTAAATCAAAACCATAACATAACCATAACAGGGACATTATTACTTTTATTTTGAATATTTTTACTTTTCTTAAAATCTCAATACCTTTTTCTCAAGTTTGATTTTATTGAAATATTTTGGTTCATATGGAGGCATGCAGCTTTAAGAGTTCGTACCCCGAAAAAAGGGAAGATTTTTTATTGCTGGTATATGTAACGTATGGTCTTGTGCGGTGTATTACAATTTTATCAGTATAATACAGTATAATCAACGTGTCATACTTGCTCTGGTCCCAGCTAGCTCGCGCTTCCCGTATTAATTAAATTACGTAATCACCGTACATTAATCACGTGTCAGGGATTTATATAGTTTATATCCCTTATAAATACACGTTGGTCAAATTACGTAACAACTGTATAGATGGCTAAATTATTTTGACATGAAAAATGATGTGTGTTGTCAACAAGTTGTAGCAACATTAGCTAGCTACTGTCTTTCTGCAAAGAAGTTCATTTTGGGCATGTAAAACATTTGGAAAAGATAAACACAAAATCTTAGAAAAACTTACGGTTATATATAGTTCTTGTGAATCTGCTTTTTAGCAAACAATTTCCAAAAATCCGCAGGACTATATACAGTACGTGACGCGGCGTTCAATATCTCTTATTTTCTTTTTAACTCATAACTAAGCTTTTTCGATCTTTTTAAACAACATTTTTAGAAATCACTATATATTAAATAACACATTTACATAATTTTTGCGGACATTATAGATCTTAATATTTATCCACAGAACTAAAATATACCTCGTATTGTTCTACATGGGTCTGGCAACACCTCTCCCAACATTAAAGGAATACTCAGGCAAATTTATGACAAAAATATTTTAATGGTCTTTTGTACTCAAATCACGCTAAAATGATATGTTTTAAAGTCCTAGCATGAATTTCTGTATAAATTTTATTTCTTTTGGGTTTGAAGTGTAAAAATATTTATATATATTGAACGAAATTTAGTCGCCGACAGAATCACCTAGTACACATTTTACAGCAAGTTATGTGACTTGAACAAACCCTGGAAGTTACAATAACAGATACTGTGGATCTTGTATGATTGAAATAAGTTTAAGTCATTCATTTGACATGTTTCTTAACGTTTCCAGAGTTCACTGTGACAACTATTGTGAAATCTTAACGCTCTAACCTGACCTGCGTGGGTCAAGTCAGGAAACCACCATTTTATTTTTTTTTAAGGAGAAATGTTTTATTCTTGTGACTGAGTATTCATTTTGAGCACACTTACAGAATAATGAATGAAAAATTCGAAACGAAAAAGTGAAAACGTTGCCTGTGTCTCTCAATACATGGATTAAAATGTAATCTGAACATTAAAATCAACATTTTCATCAATACATGTATTAATTAAACGTGGTACCTAGTGGCTTTAGTGGTGACTTACAGTTATCTAACACCTTCAAGGACTTAGTACCACTACCCATCATTCCGTCGTATACTATATCTAGTGCTTTCACAATAAATAACACTATCTACTTGAATTATGTGACATTTAATGATAGAGGATATTCATTTTTTTTCTATTAACACGTACAGGATTTATTTTCATCGAGTGGTATGAACATTAATATTTCATGAGTGGCGGTAGCCACAGATGAAATATGATAATTTTCATATTACACTATGAAAATAAATCCTGTATTTATAGAGAGAAAACACTTGAATTTTCTTTTTTCTTATTTGCATTTTTCTCTTTTTTGACATATCAATTTCATTTGAAAGACTTCCCCTTACATTTTGTGTCCTGGCTGAATTTAGAAGAAATTAGTCCGACAAGAACTCCAAGACACCAGAGAAAATACGATGAAACATTTTTTTTACAGTTAAAATCCGAAAAATCCGAAAAAATAAAATTATGCATTTTATTTCATCAATATTTCAATTATATACATGTATGAATGAATAATGATACAGGAAACAGTTTTGCAGTATATAATCAGACCATTCATTAAAATTTTCAATAGAGAAATCAATAATTAGAATCTAATAAATATTTTAATATATATATTGTTCTTTCAATAGTCAATGATAATCTTTAATAATTATAATTATTTGTCATAACCATTTTAGCAACAAAATAAATATTGACATTTAATGGATTTAGATGTAGGACTTCCTACATCAAAGTCAGTGAGGTTTGTTCTTATTCAAATTAACAGAGACTTATTAATATCTAGCTGTAATTAACATTATTTATAAACATTTTATCCGTAGAGTCTACATATAGAATTATTTACTCATCAAAGATAATTAAGAATAGAATCATAATTACATTTATATAAATGTCAAAAATAAATGGTGATGATTTTGGTCAAGCATATTGTCTAAATTATGCATTATGTAGATCTAATATAAATTGTAAAAAACATTGTTCAAAATCAAATCTTAATAATGTCTAATAAACTTCCTTATCTTCAAAATCGATAAACAGGAAATATTTCCTTTTCATTGATAATAAAATAACAATGTTGTAAAGTAGATTTCTTTATGATAATCAGATAATAGACCTTTACAAAATCTGGCACAATGAAATTATCGTCTGTTATAACTTCCGTGTTAATAAAGCTTTCGGCAATAAATTGACAATACCGCTGGTTCCCGTCATAAATCAGTAAAGAAATCACAGTCGCGTAACGGGTTGAAGTCACGTGATACACTTTCGCGCCGTTTTAAATGTATACACGCCATTGTCCATTCATTTAGGAACAACATCTCGTTTCAAGCGCAATAACAGAGGAAAAATAAACATGCCACCCCGAGATTACACAGCAGAGAAAGGTATTTATTAAGTTTATACAATGGAAACTTATTTGTATTGCGTTATGTTGTATTAATGGCAATTAAATATCGAATTTTTAGTGATACAAATATGGCCGTTGTGGGTGGGGTATTCAGAAATGGATTGAATAATTTTTATAAGATATTTTTGAAAAAAGCGAATGGAAAGCTTATTATATATTCAATTATTTGAAATAAGCCATGCAGTGTTGTTTTTATTACTGTAGATCTAATATAAATGTGTCAACATTTTTCTGACTAAATGACTTATTTTTTTGCAGACAAAATAAAAACATTCCTACAGGAGTTTTACAAGGATGGGGCAGATGGTGGGAAGGATTTCGTCTATGGTCAACAGTTGGTAAGATTTTATTTTCACTACAATTGATTATCATTTTAAATGATTTGAACAGGTGAATGCCACAATATCAAAATGATAAATGTCATTGCCTGATACAGGCCACAGGCAAGAGTATCGGACCTGGGAAGAAACACTATGACCAGATTGATAAAAAAACCTGTGTTCATCTTAAAAGTGTCAAAAAAAAAAACAAAAAAAAAATGTAAATAATGACCCCCTTTAAAAATATACTATAAGTTAAGAGAAGGCCGGAAACTCCAGATTCGAGCCTACGAGCAAGCGATTCATTTCCTGGGCCGTTGTGAAAACAATTGGCCAGACAATTAAAAAACACTTTTATGACTATTTCACGTTTGTATTAAGCTTCTAAATGAGACCAACCCCAAGTCTCTAGCCCTTCCCGTTCATGAAATATCTATCACGAAACGAGCGAATTCGTGCTAAAAATCCTTGGTAGACAGAATTGCGGCACAGCAATTCGATACGTAAACATAGACTAAAACATGTATGTCAGCTGAGTATGGGTCAAAATCACTTGAAAATTACTAAATAATATTGCTAAATACATTAAGTTGGACCACTCACAACCGTCAGTAGCATCTGATACACGCAAAATTCGAATTTCAAACCTTTCCGCGGTCTTTAGATTACTTTCTACGCCATTGTCAATCAGCTGTTTGATATTTTGTAACGAGTCTTCTGATTGGCCAATAGCAACGAAAACCGCAACGTTTCACACAAGATGCCTAATGGCGTAGAAAGCGATTGAAAGACCGTGTAAATGTTTGAAACTTGAATCTCGTGTGTATTAGATGCTACTGACGGTTGTGAGTGTCCAACTTAATGTATTTAGTAATATTATTTAGTAAATTCAAGTAATTTTGACCCGTAGTCAGCTGACATACATGTATTAGTCTATGTTTAAGTACCGAATTGTTGTGCCGCAATTCTGTCTACCAAGGATTTTTAGCACGAAGTCGCTCGTTTCCTGATAGATATTTTATGAACGGGAAGGGCTAGAGACTTGGGGTTGGTCTCATTTTGAAGCTTAATATAAACGTGAAATAGTGATAAAAGTTTTTTTTAATTGCCTGGCCAATTGTTTTCACAACGGCCCGGGAAAAGAATCCCTTGCTCGTAGGCTCGAATCTGGAGTTTCCGGCCTTCTCTTAACTTATAGTATATTTTTAAAGGGGGTCATTATTTACATTTTTTTTTTTTTTTTGACACTTTGAAGATGAACACAGGTTTTTTTTATCAATTTGGTCATAGTGTTTCTTCCCAGGTCCGATACTCGTGCCTGTGATACAGGCCGGCAATATTCGCTGCGAAGAATTGGCTCAAAGTAAAAAATTGCCAGTGCTAGCACATTATGTGCTTGACTTAAATTTTTTGTTCATCTATTAAACCTTTCGGTGTTTTATCCTTTTAGGCAAGGGATAACTGCATTTATTTGGTTCAGGGAAAGAAAATTCCACTTGATCTGCACGTATTTACGAGTAGACATCGATGCAGGACTAGTACAAAATTGTTGTATGCTCATACAGTAGGACGAGCAATATTTTGCCGATGTAATAGAAAGCTAGAATTATCAAAATCAGTTCACATTTAACGATGGAAAACCAGAAACAAAGCTTGTGTCTAGGTTATTTATAATTCACACATTTTATAATGCTCTAAAAGCATTGTTAATTGGATAAGGGTGTGACTGGAATGTGCCTGACAATGCTCTTATAAAGTGCGCAATTTATACATAATATAATCTAAAACAGAGCTTTGTTTCCAGTTTTGGTTTGTTAAATTTATATAAACAAATTGATTATGAGAAGTTTTAGTGGTCTCTGGCGAGGTTCTATTGCATCAGCAAAGTTTATCTTGAAAATCAAATCAGAAATGTCGGTCGAGTAGCAAAGCATGCCGGACAAGTAGAAATTTGAAGCCACATTTCCTGCGGCTCTCAAAAGAATTATTGATCCCTGGGTTGTACAAATTTGGTAAAATTTAGGAAAAAATGAAAGAATAAATACATCAAAGATTATAAAAAACTGTTCAAATGGTCAATATACTTTACAAATGTTTGGAATAAAATTTATTTCATTTATTTTTAGGTAAAAGTAGCTCACAGAGAACAAGTTGGGCTGTGGATAGAGCTTGATGATATATACGATCATGACCCAGATTTGGCAGATGCCATCACTGAAAATACGCGGCGCTACACAAGTCTGTTTGCCGACATTATTCAAGAGATTCTCCCCGACTACAGGGAAAGAGAGGTAATAAAGTGGGCTAATATATGTATACTGACTGCTAATCATTATCATTATTCAATGCTAAACAAGTAGGAACAAACATTTTCAGTTACCAAAATATGAGCAGTATTTTCATTTGAATCTATTGGAAAGAATTGTAATCACTCGTAGAATAAAGATATATATTTTATTGTATTAATGCTAATATGTTAAACAATTGATTAAACTTAAATAAGAAAATTAGTATGGGTTTAACACAGATTGCTTGTTTTCCCTCAGGTTATACATAAAGATGCTTTGGATGTGTACATTGAACACAGATTGCTTCTTGAGCAGAGAAATCATCCTGATGGCCCGGAAGTTACCAGAGACCCAAGGAACAAATACCCAGCTGAACTAATGAGAAGATTGTGAGTGTTCATATTTCAATACCTGTTTTTCATTTGTAATGTATGATTGAAGTAATCAAATATATAATAAGTGTGACAACTAAGGGTCTATTTTTGTTCAAGCATAACAACGACTAGGTTTGGTACAGTAATTGAAAATTTTCACTGTTTTTATACACAATTGGACAGATGGGTAGGGCTGTAATGAACGTCTGAACTCTTGGTACATCGCAAATGTGTTTTGAATTTAGGACATGATTATTCACGTGCCTTTGTATAGCCAGATTCACAATTTTTTTGTAATCATAACTGAAAGAGAAATTCTGATATAGGTCTTGCTTTTTTTATCCTATATAATTAAGCTTATAAAACATATCTTTTTAAAATAATCAGCGCATTTTCATAGCGTATCCAAAACGTGTTATATATCTGAAAATAAACATGATCTACGGTAAAGCTAGCAACAAGATGTTTTGCTATCTTGAACTTCAACACAAGAAAAATTACCAATATTGAAATAATTGTAATGTTTATTTGTACTGTTAGTTAATAAATGCAATGTGTAAAAAGATTTCTGCACCCCAGAGTTTATGAGAAATTTCTTGTATTTTAGTTTAAAACAGAATTTTTTTTTTGCAGTGAGATTTACTTCAAGGCTCGTAGTGCACAGAAGCATGTATCAATTAGAGAAGTGAAAGCCGAGGCCATTGGTAAACTAGTCAGTGTAAAGGGTATTGTAACAAGGGCAACAGAAGTGAAACCAATGATGGTTGTTGCAACATACACATGTGATACCTGCGGCAATGAAACTTACCAACCTGTAAGTACAGAATCACATTGGATTCAGTGATTTTTCACCTTGTATAGGCCTTTTTCCAATAAAAATTTTCATTAAAACCAAAAGATATTAACTTGTACAAGTTGGTTTGGCTTCCGAAATTTTCTATTTAAGCAATAATTACACTAGGAAGTAGCAATAGATGGCGTCTCACATTGTCTGTATATTTTACACTTCTAATCTGATTAAACAGTGAGGTAGTAAGTTTTGCCTTGTGCAATTTTACACAAAAAAACCAATGACAAGAATTTGATCATAATTCGTTTTCAGTATCTTCAATTCCTTTTAATGCAACAGATATTAAATTTCAATGTTTGTTGTTTTTTTTTCCTTTCAAAATTAGTTTGTTAAAACAATAAAATGATGCCTGTCTAGATTACTGGGTAACAGGATAATTTATTGTACTTATTATCATCATCTTAGCAAAATTAATAAGAGAGAGAGAATTAGGCAATGATAATCTCCAATGATTTGGAATAAATCAGTTAAGAGAGTTAACTATACCTTTGTAAAGAAGGAAAAATAGGTTGTGATAGATTTGTTAAGGTTTGACAGCAACTTGTTAACTTTTCACAGATTGCATCTCCATCATTTATGCCACTGTTGATGTGCCCAAGCACTGACTGTACCACCAACAGGTCAGGGGGACGCCTGTATTTACAGTCCAGAGGTTCCAAATTTGTGAAGTTTCAAGAGATTAAGATACAAGAACATGTAAGTATACTTTGTAACTTATGTAACATTTCAAAAGTAATTGTGTGGTGCTTAATAATGGTTAACTGTAACAACGTTTATCATTATAAAAAAAGAATTGTGTTATTTTTAAATTTGATAAGATATATTAATGTTTGATAGCTATTTTTAGTTTGCTTATGTTTTAATTTAGTACATGTACAGTCATATTTCAAGGGGGATGCAAGGTTGTTTTGGCAAAAAAGTGGTCAGTATTTTTTTTGTATTTTTGTCATAAACTAACTTCATAATTGTTATAAAGTTGTGATTGATATTGTAGAGTGATCAAGTACCTGTGGGAAACATTCCGAGAAGTATGACAATTTTCTGTCGCGGTGAGACGACACGTTTAGCACAGCCAGGTGATCATATCAGTGTTGCTGGAATCTTCCTACCAACCATGAAGCAGGGTTATGCCAACCAGGGTGGACTTTTGTCAGAGACTTTCCTTGAAGCACATGTAAGTTTATACAATATTTGTGGCATATGTTTAATTTATAATTATATATTCATTATGAAATCTGTGTAATAGACTCTGGAATTAAGAATATTTTGGGTTTTCAAACAGGGGTACAAACAGACTTCTACAGTTACAACTTCCGACGATAAGTGCAACAAGTTGACTAAGCTGTTGTAAATGGTAGTGCATCGTGAAGCTTTCATATTAAAAGAGATTTGTATTTTAACTACAATGGTTGTTTGTATTATTTTGTAAAGATAAAAAAAAATTGTAACTATAGTGTAAGCTGATTGACAATAAAATTTTCTGCAGTTCCAAAACTAATATCAATGTAATATTTCAGAGAATCACAAAAATGAACAAGACTGAGGACGACGAACTTGGAGTTGAGGAACTCACCGATGATGAAATCAAACAGGTTGCAGAAGAAGACTTTTATGATAAGCTTGCTACAAGTATTGCGCCAGAAATCTACGGACACGAGGATGTGAAGAAGGCTCTATTGCTACTGTTGGTTGGCGGTGTTGATAAGTCGCCTCAAGGAATGAAAATTAGAGGTCAGTTTCAGCAGTGTTTCAAGGTTATGAAAATGTGCATTAGTATATAAGATTTGCACCTGTGATTTGCCAGTAGGGTAAAACATTCAGCAGCTTTACAGACTGGTGCCTATATTATCCATTGGCAAATATGCATTTGAATAAGTTTAAGACGGTGCTAACCAATTACAACATTGTACCATATATACGCATAATCTCTGAAATGTTCTTAAATTTAATAAGCATGTATTCCAATGATGGACATTAAGTGAGCGGACATTCTTCCAAATTGGACTTGAGGGGTCATTTCTTTTGTTGAAAATCGGCCATGACCATTCTATTTTTACTGAAATGTTTGTTTACCATAAAAAGCTCCATAAACCTAATGAACATTAAGTTCATTCAGTATACTCATCTTTATGTCAGCCAAAGAAATAAGACTAGGTACTCAATAGTTGAATTATATCATGTAGATTTTTAGAGACATAATTTTCTGTTTGAAAAGATTTGAAATTGTGATTTTATGTAAGATTTATTTTTGTATTTCAGGAAACATTAATGTTTGCTTGATGGGAGATCCTGGTGTTGCCAAGTCTCAGCTTCTTTCCTTCATTGACAGACTGGCACCAAGAAGTAAGTAGCTTTCCCTTCTTTTCTCTGTTTTATTTGATACTTATTATTCATATGCATATTGGAAATGATTTGAGGTTTACCTCAGGTTTATCTCATACAAAAGAATTGATATTCATATTTTAAACATTAAGTCACCCTCTTCACATTTTGAGAAGAAAGAATTGTCTTAGAAAAACACACTGATTACTGTTGTATTGGTTAAGAACAAATACCTATATAAATTATTAGCTTTTAACCTGTTTTGTAAAATTGATCAGCACTTCTTTTTATTTGGTAAGTCCACAAGAGAGAGAGAATAAAGCATAAAATTATTTGTATAGTCTAGAGTTTAAAGCATTTCAATTGCATGAGCATTCACCATTTAGACTGGCTTTTTATTTTAATGTCGGATTGAATCCAGTATATTAACTGTTATTTGTTTACTCAGGTCAGTACACAACTGGTAGAGGATCATCGGGTGTAGGTCTGACTGCTGCTGTGATGAAGGACCCACTGACTGGTGAGATGATGCTGGAGGGCGGAGCTCTCGTGTTAGCAGACCAGGGTGTATGCTGTATTGACGAGTTTGATAAAATGATGGACGCTGATAGAACAGCCATTCACGAAGTGATGGAACAGCAGACCATCTCCATAGCTAAGGTATATATAGTTTTATTAATGATCCAACATTTGTTTTCAAAGGAGTTGATGTTTTTTCCAAGATGAGGAACCTCTTAGATATGTTAAAAAAAAATTCAGCTTGACTAAACTTAAGCCCACTTAATTTTGTAAATTTTTACACTATGAAAATATAGTTCTATTTTTATGTTTGTATTCTTATTATTGAATCTAAATGATATTTTGTCTTACACAATTGAAGCAGAATAAGGCAAACATTTCAAAGAGTTCCCTCTATGACGTGTTTTCATGAAAAGTGATCTACTTACCAGAACTAATATGGAATTATTTATTGATTAGTATTCACCCACATTTTGATTTTGTGTTGTGTTGACATTATACAGGCAGGAATTATGACCAGTTTAAATGCTAGAGTGTCAATTCTGGCTGCTGCTAACCCAGCATATGGAAGGTACAACCCTAAACGAACCATTGAACAGAACATACAGTTACCTGCTGCCCTACTCTCCAGATTTGATATTCTCTGGTTGATACAGGACAAGGCTGACAGGGACAATGATCTAAGGTAATAAGATAAGATGTCATATTTCAAAAAGCACTAATAAAAAAACTAATCGGGCCTTTTTTCTAGCCATTTCAGTTCCCAGTTTGAGAAATTTTGTGTCATAAAATTGCTTAAGTGGGAAAAAAATTTGTTAAAGATTGGGGAAAAAATATTTGCCATTGGGGAATGGGTCTGGTAATCTGACCTGTGGTGACACTGGGAAAAGGCATCTTTGCTTGAATGGTCAACCTGCTTCGCTAGATAAGGAGAGTATCATATTGTTATTCGAGGGTCGCTGATTTGATTTTCAGGTTAGGCGTAATTTCTCTGTGACAGTTTGGACTTGGATATTGAGTCTTATGGTTATTTGTTGGTCACTATAATTGATTCACATACCTTGATGTGGATAAGTAGTCACACTTGTGGAGAAATTGGGCTTTACTGGTTAGTTAGGTGGATTGACCGTTTCATATGATGTGTTAAAATCTTTGTAAAAAAAAAACAAGAAAATATAAAATCATAAAGATGGGTTTCTTTATTGAAAATTGATAGGTCAAATATACAAGTGGCTAAGTACATATTCTGTCCTTGTTGAATGTTTATTATTTTGTTCATTTATCATTATTATTTAGGAGTATGCTGGAAATATTATTTTGATTGTCTTTATTACTAAGGAGTACCCTGGAAACTATTTGGCTGTGTGAATGTAGTCTTAAGATGTTGAAGGTACCACACAGTGAGCAGTTAGTGCGGTCCTTCATATGCCCTTACCCTGCTATATATCTTAAATGGATGTGTCCATCTTTCGGTTTGAACATTGACATTCAGTTACTCAGGTAGTTTATTAAAAATAATAAGATAGCAATACTGAAATTGAGATGTAAAAACTATATATTATTTTTTCAGGTTGGCACAGCATATAACCTATGTACATCAGCACAACGTTCAACCACCTACACAGTTTACACCACTAGATATGAAACTTATGAGGTTTGTCTAGCATTCATTATGTAATAGATTTCCATTACCTAAGCTACCTGTAATATGAATGTTCTACTGAGTAGCAAATGTTCTACTAAGTAGCCTGTTTGGGCTTAAGAAACAATATAAGATTTTTGAACTCAACATGAAATCAATCGATTTCAAATACTTGCACCTGTTTTGATTTGATTACTCACTGCATTTTTGAGTATGATTTTCTTTACACAATTTCTGCCACCTGTATATTGTAGAGTTAAGAAGTGTCATCTTAAATAAGATTCCAGTAAATAAGTAATAAGTAGTCAGAATTAGTACATTTTCTAACACAATATCTTTATTTTTCTTTTCGGCTAGATAAATGTTTGATACTTAATGTGTTTGATATTTTCTTGTCTACTACTTAAAGGAAGCTCAACTTACAATGAGTGATGTGAATTTGAATTAGATTTGTTTCATAGTAATGAGGTTGAGTAGTTGTTTTAACTAAATATTGTATTTCATTTTCACATTACAGGAGGTATATAGCACTATGTAAGAAGAAGCAACCTATAATTCCTGAGAACTTGTCTGATTATATCACTGGTGCTTATTGTGAGATGAGAAAAGAGGCTAGGAATGGTAAAGACATGACCTTTATGTCGGCCAGAACCCTGCTTGCTATACTGCGTCTTTCCACTGCTTTGGTAAGTCAAACTTCTCATTGTGTTTTAAATGTGTATTGTTTTCAGATTGGTCATTGATAAGTTTGGTAAGTTTGCCTGTCAAAGTACTTGTAATTCTGATCTCTAAAAAAGTGTGCATATTAGGATCATACTATATAACCTTGAAAATTAATCTAGCATTTATAAGCTAGAAATGCTAGACAGAAAGTACTTGGTTTATTCTGATTTTTAGGTCCTTGTGAACTGAAACTAGTGTACTGAAATGAATTGTACAACCTGTCCTTGTGTTGATATGTACTACACTTTAAAACAGCTCTCTTATTCTGTCAAAATTGATTAAAGTTCAGAGACCGGATCATCATTTTCCTTGTGCTGTATTGAATTTAATTAGTAAAACATTTAAATGAAAAAAATACTAATCGCGATTTAACTGCAGGTTTTCTTTTTAGTATCAAAGCTTACTAAAATATATATTTTTATAAGCATTGGAAAGAGAAAAAAAGGAAGTGTACAGAATCATTTAACAAATATATGATAAATTTGCCCTCCTGGGGCGTTTAATAGGAGTTTTTTCGGTAATTTAACTTCAAATTTATTTACAGGCGAGGTTACGTTTGTCTGACTCTGTACAGAAGGAAGATGTTAATGAGGCCATTAGATTGATGGAAATGTCCAAGGATTCACTCAACCCTGCCCATGAAATGCACTCTAGGTATGTATTTGTTATACAGACGAATTTAAAGGCACTTGTGTCAATATTTCATCATGATTTTGATGTCTGAATACTAGAAACTGAATAACCCATATTAATTTAGACATAGTCTAAAATGTTCCACCCTATGGGAAAGGTTTTGATGATAATTTGCAGAGGACATTTCATATAAATTCAACAACAAAAAACCCAAAGTTTTGAGGTCTGTTAAGACATTTATTTTAACTATCAATTTTAGGTTTAATATATTTTTATCAGGTTATATTTTATGCTTTTCAGTGGATTACTGATTTATCCGTGAAAATTATATTTGGTAATTTCACAGTGAAAATTATCAAAATATAATTTCACTTTTTTCAATGACGAAACTACTTTTTTAAGATTTTCCCCATGTGGTACCTCAATTTTATTTTTGCTGACAATTCTGACAATGTCAGGCTGTTTAAAGAAAAAGGAAAGCTGAAATTGATAAATACCTTAAACGTCAAAAGTAATAAAAAGAAGAAGACTTACTTCTATTCATTCAAATTCCAATCACCAAATTTCGTCTCTAATGTTTTTGTTTCATTTTTACAGTCTGAAAAATACATTCCTTCCACATGCAAACTGCTCTTGATGACATTTGGGCATATTAAAGTATCCTACGAGTAATAACTGCCGTATGCTTTATGAATAATTGATAAGCAATGACAGCTACAGCTCGTAGAACAAGTAAACCAACCCAGCGTTCCGAGCAAGTTCCAAGTCTTCCATTTTCATAGCTGCTTTTTTCATGTTTTCACATCTGTCAACACCTTAATTTTTGTCTGTTTCAATCCTCAAATATGTTTTCTTTCTTTTAAAAAGGTGTATGACTAACAATTTCAAATGATATCCCTCTGAATCAAACACAAATTATTTTCCTCCCGTGAAATACACAACTTTAAAAAATGGCTGCCGCTTACATTTAACAAAGCCAGGTCTAATATAAATTCGCAGTAGGTAACAGAAATATGGAAGGATGGTTGGAATTTTCTCCTACACGAATTGTTTGTATTTATTTTTAAAACAATGGATCATTTATGTTTTTGGAATAAAATAAATAATATCATCGCCATTTAACATTGATTGTGGAACTTATTTTTCAGCTCAAGACTTCTTGTTTTTATGAAAAATTCGACTAAAAACAAGGCTACATAGGGGAAAAACAGATTTAAGTATTTAAGTTAATATTGAGGAAATTTCGTTTAAACTTGTTTTTTAGCATAAAATAAAAAGAAAATTTGTTTGTTTGTTGTGTAAGATGTAATTTTATTTCATCGTGAACTTTAAAAACAGTATTCTCACTCGTGGCTACGCCACTCGTGAGAATACTGTTTTTAAAGCCCACTCGATGAAATAAAATTTCATCTTACACACAAACAAACAAATATCCTCTATATATTTCTTATAATATTTAAAATTAAAGTCTGTTCTTTTTAAGAGGTCTTATGTGTTTTGTCTGCTGATGAAAATAGTGTCATTTTGAACGAGTTGAAAAATGGTATTTAATGGGTTTTATTAAATCATGTCAGATGACAACTTTATTTTAACAGCTGATGTTATTAATTGTAAAATCTTGTTTTTGTTTTAATTTTAGAGCCCAGAATGTTACAGATAAGATTTTCGCTATTGTACGTGAAATGGCACCATCAAAGGGAGTTAAGTCTGTCAAGGTAGCCGATGTAATGGAACAGTGTACATCGAAGGGATTCAAACCGGACCAGGTAGATGCATGTATAGAGGAGTACGAGGAACTCAACGTGTGGCAAGTGAACCAGGCTCACACGAAGATCACATTTATATAAAAACAATGGCGTGGATAGATTTAAGACTGTGAAAAGTGTGTGCTGTTGTCAGAAGAAGCGTGGACCAATTATTACCATTTTTAAACAGCTTTTAACAACTTGAAAGTTTGTATCCATGGATTGAAAAATTTAATTTAAGTGATCAAAACATTGAAATATTGACAATAGAAATTCAAATCTTAAAATCTTGTAAGATCCATTGAATTATCGTCTGTGTAAATTGGTATTTCCTATAGTTATATACAGGTGTGAAGTCAGTAAAGGTCTGTAGCTACTGTTCATCATTGTTAATCAGTTTCCTTAAACTTACAAGGTGTTCATTTAATGTCGAGGACAAAAAGATCATGCACACAGTTGTCAATATAGATTTTTAACCTTATTGTGTTCAGAAATGAAAAATGTGTTCATGAATTTTCACTAAACATTTAATCATGAAATTGTAATTTGAATATTTTTTATTCTTAAAAAAAAATAGAAACTTTTCATTAATTATAAATACATTAGGGAAGGAAAGATTTTTAGGTTATATTTTTATAATAGTAGTAAATTGAAATTTGTTTTTTTTCCTTATCTCATCATTGTATATACCATATTTTTATCATATGTAACTAGAATCATGTTGATAATAGTAAAATAAAATACTTGTAAAAGAAAAATGTTTGTTAGCTGTATATATTCCGGATAGTTTCTGCAAGTTTTGCATCAATGTTTGAACATAACCGTCCATTTGAGGTGATTAGTTCTTTGAACAGACATGGGACAAATTAAATTTATTGAAGATGTATTAATGAATAATGCATTTAATTTTAGCCCACCTGAGCTAAAGGTGACCTACTGTGATACACCAGTGACCTTTGTTAATATTTCAACTTTAATAAGATTAACCACTTTGGCCAATAGTGTGGAAACTATCCTTGGCTCGTCTTATTAAAATGTTTTAAGTGGTTCCAGTCTAAACAAGGTGGCTGCAATAGCTGAGAATAGAAAAGGATTTAAATGAAACCTTGACCTATGTGATATAGTTGTGCAGCATTGATTATTATAAATTCAAAAATTGTTCGTGTCTGTTGAACAACATGACCACCAGAGCTAAAATTAAAATAAGACCAGTTTTAAATGGCTGGACTCTGCGAATATGAAACTTCAGGAATGAGCCTTATTTCTAATCTGCTGAACAAGATGGCTGCCAAAGCTAAAAAGAAAAACCTTTAAACAACATCACAACTACTTTGTAGATTTTGATGGAATTGTGCAGCATTGAGTATTAAGTTCTTCTTTATAAAAAATGTTTATACCTGTAAAACAAGGGAAATCTTGACAATGTAGACCATATGCTTTTGTAAGTTCATGCAATTTAGATTTTGTTCGCTATAATACCATAGAATTTATGTATTTCATCCTGTTGGTTGACTTGTATGAGTTCCCTTTTGGTTGACTAGTGTGGGTTCTGTGTATTTTGACTTGTATGAGGTCCTTTTGGTTGACTAGTGTGGGTTCTATGTATTTTGACTTGTATGAGGTCCCTTTTGGTTGACTAGTGTGGGTTCTATGTATTTCGACTTGTATGAGGTCCCTTTTGGTTGACTAGTGTGGGTTCTATGTATTTTGACTTGTATGAGGTCCCTCATGGTTGACAGTGTGGTTTATATGTATTTCGACTTGTATGAGGTCCCTTTGGTTGACTAGTGTGGGTTCTATGTATTTTGACTTGTATGAGGTCCCTCATGGTTGACAAATGTGGGTCCTATTTAGCTTGGCTTGTATGAGTTCCCCGGGGTGTTCTTAGTGTAAGGAATTTTTAGAAGTAGTAACAATTCAAATCCTTCAAAACATATTTCAAAACATGTCAATTTTAACTTAAAACATAACCATAAGTTCTATGTTTCATTCATTGAATGTAATGGGAAAGAAATATAAAATGTAAACAAGAAAGACAACTGCGATAGCAACACGTATTGTCATTAACGCATGATTTGTCTACCTTTATAGAATTCATTTGAGCTTAACGGGAGAATTTCTTGCTTTATAGAGAAAAAAAAACATTTTGTTTTGTGCAATTTGGCCACCAACGCCTTATAAATACACTGGAGGAAAAAAACAACAGCAACAACAAAATTAACAACAACAAATCTTAAGCTGCTGTACATTTAATTCAATGGAATATTTATGAAAGCTTGACAATATGTTAAATATGCTATATTAAAACATGTTTGTGATGTGGTATTATTAGACAAAAATGGTTAATACACAATAAGCTGAACAATATCTCTAGATATATACCGACATACCCAATGGTGATCAAACAAAATGGCATTTTTGTATTTAGTCAAAAATTAAAAGCTGAACCAAACTCTGCAATGGATTTCGCAGAAAGTTTTTTTCTGCAATTGCGGGTCCAATGAAGAATTCATTTGTCATGATATTAAAATGAGTGTATTAAAATGAGAAAAATCAGTAAATGACAGTTATTTTCATATATGTAGGCATTTATTTTCTTTATTGAATTTCCATCTCTAGACAACAGTTTGAATTGACAGATCGTTTATTACAAATTTACAATATATTGTTTTGCATTAGAATATCATTTTATATATTCATATTTTGATCGACTTCTGTTTTCCCCTGGTGAAACGCAAAAAGCTTCATGTAGATGTAAGATAAGTCATTCGTCTCCTATCTAAAACATGTTTTGTAAATCAAACTATCAACTTTTATAAAAAATAATGAAGGTCACTCATTTCATATCTGAAACAAATGTTGCCAGTCCTGTATGTGTTACAAAGAAAATATATGTGATGATTATGATTAATCTATGATGATGATGAATGGGATGATGATGATGACTGTGATGATGAAAATGGTGATGATGTTGATGTGTTGATGATGATGTTGATGTGTTGATGACGATGGTGGTGATGATAACTGGGATGATGAAAATGGTGATGATGATGATGAGCATGGTGATGTTGTGATGGCGATGATGATGACTGGGATGGCGATGATGATGAGCATGGTGGTGATGATGATGATGCTGGGACGATGATGATGATGAGCATGGTGGTGATGATGATGATGATGACTGGGATGATAAAAATGGTGATGATCATGATGATGATGTTGTGATGGTGGTGGTGATGATGATGATGATGCTGGGACGATGATGATGATGAGCATGGTGGTGATGATGATGATGATGACTGGGATGATAAAAATGGTGATGATCATGATGATGATGTTGTGATGGTGGTGGTGATGATGATGATGATGCTGGGACGATGATGATGATGAGCATGGTGGTGATGATGATGATGATGACTGGGATGATAAAAATGGTGATGATCATGATGATGATGTTGTGATGGTGGTGGTGGTGATGATGATGATGACTGGGATGATGAAAATGTTGATGTTTAACATAAAACATTGCATGATTATGGAGATCATTTTGATGATAATTAGGATGATGATTGTAATTATTACGAAGACGGCGTCGTCAAGGATGACATACATGATGGCCATTATGATAATCATGATAATGATGATGATACTTGATGATACTTATGATATTATTGGATAATAATGATGATCACAATGATTATGATGATTATAATGATGGTGAGGATGATCGATATAATTATGATGATGTCAATTTTAACTTAAAACATAACCATAAGTTCTATGTTTATAAAATGTAAACAAGAAAGACAACTGCGATAACAACACGTATTAGACTAATAATGGTTAATACACAATAAGCTGAACAATATCTCTAGATATATACCGACATACCCAATGGTGATCAAACAAAATGGCATTTTTGTATTTATAGTCAAAAATTAAAAGCTGAACCAAACTCTGCAATGGATTTCTCAGAAAGTTTTTTCTGCAATTGCGGGTCCAATGAAGAATTCATTTGTCATGATATATTTGAAATCGTATAACATTTATGTGATGAAATGTTGCCATATGACTTCCAAAATTTTGCTACACTTTGAAAGCAACCTAACCAATCAAACATAATTATAAATAAATAGATAAATATAAATGTATAGAAGATTGTCGGCCTTATATTTAAATGAGAAAAATCACAAAATGACAGTTATTTTCATATATGTAGGCGTATATTTTCTTTATTGAATATCCGTCTCCAGACAACAGTTTGAATTGACAGATCATTTATTACAATATCTTGTTTTGCATTAGAATATCATTTTATATATTCATTATTTATCGACTTCTCTTTTCTCCTGGTGAAACGCAAAATGCTTCATGTAGATGTAAGATAAGTCATTCGTCTCCTATCTAAAACATGTTTTGTAAATCAAACTATCAACTTTTATAAAAATAATGAAGGTCACTCATTTCATATCTGAAACAAATGTTGCCAGTCCTGTATGTGTTACACAGAAAATATATGTGATGATTATGATTAATCTATGATGATGACTGGGATGGTGATGTGTTGATGATGATGATGATGGGGACAATGAGACTTGGATGATGAAAATAGTGATGATAGTGATGTGTTGATGATGATGGTGGTGTTGTGATGGTGGTGATGATAACTGGGATGATAAAAATGGTGATGATGATGATGTTGTGATGGTGGTGGTGATGATGATGATCACTTGGAAGATGAAAATGTTGATGTTTAACATAAAACATTACATGATTATGGTGATGATTTTGATGATAATTAGGATGATGATGGTAATTATCACGAAGACGACGTCGTCAACGACGACATGATGGCCATAATGATAATTATGATAATGATGATGATACTTGACGATACTTTTGATAATGATTGGATAATAATGATGATCACAATGATTATGATGATTATAATGATGGTGAGGATGATCGGTATAATTATGATGATGATGATGAATTTTGATTTCAGAAAATCCTAATCATTGCTTTCTTGTAAATTTTGCGCAAAAAATGTTTTAATTGCAATTGTAAGTTTTCACCATGAAAATACATTGTACCATGGTGATCTTTTATCATGATCTATGCTTTTAAAGTATGCTTAGAAGTAAATCCAATACGTTTTGAGCACTTTAACAAAAATAATGGAAAACACCGAACATCCTTGGCGAAGTTCAATTTGCCATGGCAAATTCAAACTTTACATTTTTACATTACTTATATTAATAGTAAACATAGAAAAAAGACACATATCAACCTTGAAACCTTTTTATTAATATGACAATATATGATAGTCACCATTTCTATTTTAAGTGGGTAAAAAATACAAAACAACAGCATATGTCGCCTTGCCATGTCGTAGAGTACTGGTTGTCTTGACATATGATATAAAAAAATGAAAACTTTTTGTCACTTTTTAATATCTGTATTTTTCATTTTTACGTTGGTAAACACATAGCTTTTTTGTATATACTGTATATTAGATTTCTACACACGTTTAATAAAACATATGTTGTCAATCCTTTATAATGTGATAATATGATATGATAAACAAGAAAGAAAGAAATTACTTTAATTTCTCAATATATATCATTTTTCCTATTAAAGTATAATACCATTTAATAAAGTAGATCTAATAAACAAAACCGTTGAATTTTCTTGATTAATAATTAAAATTTACAATTGCACGTGCTTGTTCAAGAAAGTGTTTGATTGTAATAAATACGCACAAAATCTAGAACCTTTCTTCACACCTGCGCTTACCTGAGCACAAATATTCTTAAAACGAGTTGTATGAATCAATACATCAATATTTCTATGTAATGTTTGGACAGACCAAAAATCAGATTTCATTGAAGTAAAGCTCTATTATGAATCAAGATCTTGCATCTTATTAAAGGTAAAGGTGTTGTTTATTTTAGTGTCACCCCTACTGAAAGGGCCAGCCATTTCTGACTTATGGGGAAAATTTTTTCCCTTTTTGCTTTTTCCCTTTGTACCCCCCCAACTCAGCATGGGAAATCGGTAACCTTTTCATCTTAACTCCCGGTCGCGGCTCACAGAAGCGGCCTTTTCGGAACGATTCCCAAAGAAAAACATTCCCCCTTTTCAACTAACGCTCCTTTTAGGGCTTAACCTTCGTTTCTCCCGTTCCAAGGGGGACCCCTTTAAACCCACTGGGCCCAAAGGGGGTTCCCGGGTTTTCATGTTATTTAAAATTTCCCATTTCTTTTTACTCCCTGTTTTTATAAAGGGTTACATGGCCGCGCCCAACGATTTTAGGGTTAAAAAACAAAAAGAACGTTTGGGGTTGGGGGGCAGACGATTGTTTGGTTTTAAACCCAATCCCAATCTTTGATGTTTTTTTTTTGTTTTAAGGGGAAAAAAGGAATTGATTTTGGTATACATGGAGTTTGGCCCGTTTTTTCACCCGAAAATTCAAAATTTATCACATGCATTGTACTATTTATTGTTATTTTTTGGGTATTGATTAGGGAAAATCCATTCTTGTTCATAAAACATTCTCACGTTTATACACCGTTTTAATGTTCAAGTATGAATTTCTCAATCGATTTTTTTATTTTCTCAATAATTTGCAACAAAACCACATGTAGACTTTTTATCATATATATAAAACCATATGTTATTAGACATACATGTAGATTATCTACAATACTTATTGATGTTAGACTTGGTTAAAATATTCAATGTTGTTCATCTTTATTCATGAATTCATGTCCTTGATAAATGTCCGCTTTCTCCGCAAATAAGAGAGGTGTTTATATAATCGGAACGTCCTCTTATACGGATTGAAAGTAGTTCTACCACGTGCTTTCAAAGTGAGATGTAAAACTAATGTATATATTTGACATCCAAACGAAGATAAAGTCTGTTTTAGTACTATTCTAATTGAAAATATGTCCGACAACTATTTCTCATTTATTTTGGTGGACTTTTACTTGATATATTAGACATAAACTTGTCAACAACTCCCAGCATTAAATAACTACATGTATTTTTTTTTTTACATTTTTAGAAAAATATTCTACCAAAACCTGCTTTGATATATTTTGTGTTACGCGCAAGTTATTAAGTAATGGCTAATTAATTTACTAAATAACTTGAGCTGCGTACATATATATTTTATCAATGACCAGCTTGCATGGTGTTTACTTTATGGCACTATAATAGACAAAAGACAACTTGAACATTATATTATTCATCATACAATATGTACAGGTTTTATTTTTTTATTTAAAACATTGTTTTTTTAGAAAACCACCTGTTACCTGCTAATCTATTTTATATCGATAATATAATAAAACGAAACTATATTCCTATAATTTTAATAAAATTCAGATATTTCTTTTATGAAATATTTGACAATTTGCTTGTTGTATCAGGTATTCTATGTCAATTTTAAATGTCACGCCATGTTTAAGCCATTGCATAACATAACTGAACCAAGAAGAGAGGCAGTAATGATAACCTGCTTATATAGTATTACGGACTTCCTTTGAATTTGTAACAGTCCAGACCAAGTTTAAGGTATTTCGGTTATGAAAATACATGTATATACAGACTGAACTGTCAGCAATATAGAGCTTGGTCAGACTAAATGCCTAATAATGTATACCTATTACTGATATTTAAAAAAACAACTTCGCAGTAAATCTTGACAAAAATATCTTAGTGTATAATAATTTTATGTTTTCATTTTACATTTAAAATGGGCACAGGAGGCTTTGAAAATTTCGTCCCTTACAGGTGTTACCTTTGCTGAATAAACTGAAGCTATTCAACATTAAAATATGCCGTTGTCCATCTATGATTGCCTGTTTACAATTGTTGTATTTTACTTTTCTAGTATATAAAATGTTAATACATGTCCGGGGATATAATTCGTATATAAATCAATATATGTTACTGAAAAAAGACAGATGAAATTGACTTGAATGTAACATATTCGAATAAATCAGTCTTCAATAACAACAAATGTTACAAAATACATTTAACAAAGTCATTTAAAATCAGACAAAAATAGTATCCAAGCATATGTTTCACTAATTGGGAAGGGGTAAAATGGCTATAAATTTGCACGATTACTGTTGTTTGGATGTTTTGGAAGTTGGATACAGAATTGAAAGTAAGTGGCTATTTACTTATTATTTTATTAATGTTATTTTAAACAGGCAATGTTACTCTATGTTGCAATAACTTCTAATACTTTTAGAACTTAAAAAACTTTGTTTTTTTTTGCAGTCATTAAATCCTTTTTCATTTGTATAATGGCCCTTTAAAAACCAAAAATTTTAAAAAATTTTGATTTATAATTTTTATTTTTCATTTTTTACATTTGACATTTTTATTTTAAGCAGCATGCCATCCATATTCATTCTAATTTTCTTGAAAATTTTGAAAATGTATTAAAAAAAGGTAAAATACTATCACACAAACAAAGAAAGTAATTTTGATTTATGTAAATTAGCAATGTCAAAGAATGCAAAGAAAAACCCATACTGCGTTAGTAAGGTGATTTAAATTGTAAATAATTTTACTTTCCTTAAGATTTTAGAATTCATCTGTATATGTCTTTTGGTTTGTTTTTTTTCTCGCTCTTATGGGGGCATGCAGCTTTATAGCGTCAACAATTCTTGTAAATTACAATGTAATCTTACTTTAATTATCAAATATTCAAATATAGGATCATAAGTTAAAAGGTTACTTTGTTGCAACTATAATTCAAGGTTTTTTAATCAACAAAACAGTCATCTCTAATCATTAAACGATTTGAATTGAATTTAATATAAAAAATATCATATATTGAAATATTTTCATCCGTACCTACTTCCAATTCAATATGATTGTACATTAGTTGTTATTTTCACTTGTTTTTTTATTGTACCATTATTACTAATTTCACTCTTTATAAGTGTAAATATGTAATTATTTTATGTTAGTAATATTAACTAGTGTACCAATACGTGTTGTTATTGTACATTATGTTATACTTTTACCTTTCAACAGGAATGAAATTTACAAAAGTCTTTCTTTTCAATCCTGTATCATAATATTATAATGTTGTTGTGCATAATTGTATACGTTTTAACTATATGAAACAACTACAGTTTAAATCAAGTTGAATTAAATAAGATACAATGTCTTAAAATTACTGATGAAGAAAATGAAAGCAAAGTAGCTAAAATATTAATGATTGAAAAACTTTTGGCAAGTTTAAATGAATATCTTGACAGTGTTATAAAAGGGTGAAGACTAATGTATAAATGCACAGATTTAGATAGCTTAAACATTTCTAATTGAATAATAATAATATACATGCAGTTTAAGTTTGATTATTGACATTATGTTTATTCGTCTAGGATTATGCACATTTTATTGAATTAAAAAGCAACCGTGAAATAATTTGTGTAATTAGATATGTTGTTTGCCGATGTCGAAACAAATGTTAGGCCTATAGGCCTAAATGATGTGCAAAATAAAGTGGGTTTATGTATAAATCCCAAGATTTGTAATGTCTATAAACCATATTATATCGCATAGCAATAGATATTTGCATATAAGACTCAAAAGGTGTACATAAAGCTGGCAAAAATTAACATACAATGTAGTTATATTTTTTATGTTTCCTTGAATGATTAACTTTTTGTGATATGTTTAACTTTTATTATTCGTTTTGTTTCAGATTTATTTTCCATTTTGACAATTTTCAAGTATTGAACAGACTCCAAAGATGTTCAGAGGATTTCTCATATTCACGGTAAGACATTTAATTTCATGAAATTAATATAGGTCTATTTCCGGTTAGGATATTGCAAAGAATAGTTACGTCTTTTTACATAACAAACGAAATATAATGGTGACAATAAGTATTCCTTGTCTGGCTGCTACGAAAGAAAGAAAGAAAGAAGGAAGGAAGAAAGGAAGGGAGGAAGGAAATAATGATGGAAAGAAGTAAACAAGGAAGGAAGTAAACAAGGAAGAAAGGAACACAATAAAAAAGGATTTTTATCCGAATACAAAATAAAATCTTTATGTACTTTGACATGATTTATTTCCACTTCTTTATATTGTTTCTAACAGATAACAATACTCTTGTTAAACGGAACTTCCGGTAAAAGATGGACAAGAAAATCGCCATATAATGGCAATTGTGACTCACATCCCGAGGTAATTTAAATATTTTGATAAACTAAATAATTTCACCACATTTGTTTTTCTTTTGAATTGTCTTTTCTTCTGTGGTGCCTGTAAAAACTTTAATTTAAATTAAAATAACTTGAGCTCAAACTCGCTTCTTCTAAGGCTTAAGCTATTGATGATAAAAATACAAAGGGGGTATTACTAAGTAAACGCGTTTAGAATTGAAAGAAAAATCTAAACTCATGAATCAATATCACTGAGAATTTATTTTTTTTTATCAAAATTATCTACATGTATACACCTCTTTTTTCCGACCAGTGTCCGGATGGTACAGCCTGTTTAAGACCTGGCTTTGGCAACGCTGCCGAGGCTGCACAAAAGAAATGCTACAATTGTGAGTGAATTATAATAACTTACTCGATAAAAAAATAATAATAAGAAATGATACATTTGTTCCACCTTTTATATTAAATAATGAGAGTAGTTGCGATTTATTTATTTGTATCATTAGACGCACAATCATTGAGTCCATTCATAAACCTCTGCAAACCACCGAGGTTTTATTTTCTATTTCATTTATTTGAAAATACTTACTTATTTAAGGACTTCTTTTCCTTATTCTAAGCACTGACTTTATGGTTAGATATATATTAAATGTGATTGAATATTAAACTGCGATTAGAAATTACTGCTCTGTTAAGATTAAATGTCTTTGATTAATTCCCTGATGTAAATGCATAATAGAGTGTATTTTTATTTACTTATGTTAATATCTTTTAGATATTGTACAACGCCATTGAATATGTTTTGTACGTCGAAATAGGCGTTTAATCAAATTTTCTAGTTACTATGAATCACTTCTTTTTTTAAAATCCTAGGTCCCTGCATGGAGCCGGAACAATGTTACGTCCAAGATAGGTTCCTTGCTTGCAATTGTACAGACTCTGGGTTCACTGGATGTTATTGCGAAACAAGTAAGTATTTATTTTCAAATTTGATATTGTTTTCTAACTTTTATATCATGTAACTTGGTTTAAACTTGTCCATAAAACCAGGGGTTTTCAAAGACCCTGGTAAAACTTACACTTATTCCGATAGAATTTAAGTAATGTCAAGTTAAATATTCAATTTTGCAAATTTTGCAAGTCTTACTAGAGCAGATCTTTTGAGTCTTGATACAAGTTTATTGAATTTATTTATATTAGACCATGTATAATAATAACTATCTTAACGAGTTGAAAAGGACACACTAACAAAAAGAAAATGATCCTCTTTTTCAACTTGATTTATATACATGTAATATCTTCTAAGGATACAATGTTTTTTTCCATTGTATTTTTCATTATAAAAATACAGGGCAATAGATATTGCTACATATTACATATTTGCTGTCTTTTATTGATAAATGGTTATCTTAAATGATTATTAGACATTGACGATTGTGACCCGAATCCATGTCTGAACGGTGGCACGTGTATAGATGGAGTAAACAACTATACTTGCACGTGCGTAGATGGATGGAGTGGTCGTAACTGCGAAGGTGAATATATCCTACTTTTCTTTGTTTATAATACAATAAAAATTGGTTTTCCACAGATATTTCACAGTTCTTCTAGAGTTCTGGGTTTTCTAGAGATTTTTCACAGGTTTTCTAGAGATTTTTCACTGTTCTTCCAGAGATCTTTCATTGGTTTTCTTGAGATTATTCAGTGGGTTTCCAGAGATATTTTTTCAAACCGAAAAAAGCCATAAACTGATACTTTATATTTTGGACTCACAAGTTTATCTATTTAAAACCTGTCTTTAAACATATTATAAAAATTACTTATTGATTAAAACCGAGTGTATATAGATGTAAATAAGTGATACACTCATGAAATATATAGCGGTATGTATATGTATACTTGAGGATTTTTGCATCATATTTATATAGTTATATTGTTTGGTGCCTATCGCTTCTTTCAATCAAGTCATCTTTCTGAACATCTACGCTAAGAAATATTCACATACTGTACCAACTTGTCAGCTTTATTTGGATTTATTCTCGTTCCATTTTTGTGTCTTTTATTAACATAGACTACTACATGGTATTTTGATATACATAGTGAAATCGGACTATTCATACTGCAAATTGTAATTTATTAATTTCTTGTTAAAACGTTACAAACGGTATTACTTGATGACCTTTCTTCTATCATCTCAATTAAAGCATTGTTAATTTCTTTCGGCTGATCATATGAATTACTTAAGTGGTATAATAAAGATATACATGACTGTGTTTCTTCGGATGTGCAATTTATTTTGATATCAATGCAGAATCCAACGTTTGCTTCTCAAACCCGTGCGGCAATGGTGGCACGTGTGATGTTGGAGAAGACGAAGATTACGTCTGCCTATGCCCTCCTGAATTTGGTGGAACAGACTGTGAAGGTAACATAAACATATTTACCAGTTCATAAAACACAGATCTTTTCAGCTTTATATAAATACATTTACATTTCAAATAACATTGACTCAATGAAATAAATGTTTGCAAAGAACTACAACGAACAATTATTATCATGTGTTCCTTTTTCTTTTAGAATCATGCCCAGCCGGTTGGCACTTTTTCGAAAGTAGCTGCTATTTCTTCAGTGATACTCTTGTTAACTGGTTTGACGCGAGGGTAAGTGTTTCATCAGACAATAGACCTTAGATATTTGTATCAAAGTCTTGATATTAAGTGATTTTTAGTGAAACGGGTATTGCGCAGGAAAACTAGAAAAAATCTAAATAAAATCAACATTCTACAATACGAATTACCCCTTACATAATCCTAAATTCGAACCTGCCATGTTGTAAAGTATAAAGCATACGTTGTATTTTGCATAATTTGCATCAAAAATCGAATTACAGGATTTTTACCTTGTTATTGCTAGCCATTAACTTCACATATGCCCCGATATTTTTCACAGGACGACTGCATTGATATTGGAGGCGGCCTGGTAGAGATCAATAATCGGAGAGAGAACAATTTCGTAAGGGACTTAAAAGATATAAGAGGTAATGATAACAATGTGTTCTTTTCAGACATGATGGTTGCTTAAACCATACAAACAAAAGCGATCAGTGATCAAATATGCCGCCTGATGATAGCTAATTAAGCAGTTGTATTGAGGGGTGATTGACCAGTTTGTTTCCTATATATCGAGGCTACGTTGTAGCATATTGTAGCTACCGTGTAGCAGGAGACACTCAAATCATTAACAGGCAAAAACGCTTTTGTTTAATTCAAGGGCCATAACTCAGTCAGAAATCATTCAACTTACAAACATATCAATTATGCGTACTTGAGGTACCAATCAATCCTGTAAGGTTTCATCAGATTGTATTACAATGTAGAAGTAATAACAAAAGTTGTCTGGACAGAACACAAAAGTAAAGGGCCATTAATCTGACAAAATTCATAGAACTGAAAAATGCCACCTAGACTTGGTACTTATCATTCCTGTAAAGTTTAGATGAAATTGCACCAGCGGTTTTTGAGTAGTAGTCAGGACAAGTTCGTGACGTATGGACGGACGAACAGACGGACGGCATGCAGACGAAGAGAAGTAATCTCTATTTATAGCAGGCGACACAAAAATGATCAATGTTATGCTCGCTATATGTGCATATGTATTTGCACGTACACATCTTTATAGGGCATGTCTGACCATCACGTGTTAAGTAGGATATGGGGAATATTAACATATAATACAACGCTTGAGAATGTACGATTTCGTTTTATAAATGCCTCAATATAATTGAAGTCAAATGGTTGAGAAAATACTGCCAATGTGCCAGATATTTAGCGAGCTCAAAAAAGTGCATTTTATTAATGAATAGCGTTCTTAGGATGCCTTTACACGTTATGTGTGACGTTGTGAATTCATACGTACTTTAAGAAAAAAAAGTAAGACAAGCCTCGTTACTACACAATTAAAGGGCATGTACCCCCACCTCCCAAGGATATTCCGAGATTTGAACTGAAAAATTAATGTTGTTTTGCTTTGCCTGCAATATTTAACACAATTAAGCGAAGTTAGATTTTAATATTGAAATATCTATGGTATCAGATCTTCCAAATACTCAGAGAATTGTCTTTAAATAAACGTCATCGACCTTGACCTTTGATGTAAAAGGTTGAGCTGAGTAATCTGATAAATGAATTAATGTTTAAGTGAAAACCACTTTCCAATGCAATTATTAGATAAATTTTAATACAGTTTAACACAATTCTTCAAACTTATAGGAATACAGTTACATCACATGTTGTATTTCCGATCACGTTAATGCCTTACATGCATTGGAATTCTTACAGCTTGGATTGGATTGAATGATCTAACGACCGAAGGCGTTTATGTCTGGGTATCGAGCGGAAATGCGGTGGGGTACATGAAATGGGAAGAATTTGAGCCGAATAACCAAAATGATAATGAGGATTGTGTGGAGATGTATGACTCTGGTCTCTGGAACGACGCAGATTGTACTCTTCTCATGGCGTACGTTTGTGAACGAGCAAGCACGCGTATGTAAATTTGATCAATTTCCAATGTATTTAATTAATGTTTAGGAAAATAAAAAACTGTTGGAAAAACATGTGGAAAAGCAATGTGTAACATTTAGATATCCAAGTGTTTTAAACGTCAAAATGTAATTTACACAAGTATATTTTTGTATAAGATGGCAACCTATAACATGAATATATGTGAATATTTGTCAGATTTACGATGAATTAATCACTGGCTATGTTGCCTGCAATTGTTAGAGTTATCTTTTGTTTCTGAATCTTTTCCAATTTTATACTGATTGTTTGAAAACATTTTCATGCCTAATTTTGTATGTTATAGCTCCCTCTTAAATGACGTCATCATATGGACATCATTAAGATAAGAACGCTACAATAACAACAGATGATCCAGTCAACTAAAACACACAAAATACGTCTACAGTCATCAAATATAATAACTTTATAATACTTACAGAATCTTTTTACAATTATTTTGTTCAGATTAAAATGATTTTCAATTACTTTTAGATTCAGAATAAACATCAAGTCAGATAACTAAAACTGTGTGTTCTTGACTAATTTGCCTCCCATTTGAAGATCAAATTTTTTATAGACACTTCCAAGTGTCAAATAATATTTTGTGACAGAAAATCAGTGTCTCTGTTATGAAATATCTATGCGAAAAAAAATAGAAATATTTAATTTTTCTTGATATCTCTGATCATTGATTTACTATATGCATTTCCAAGATTTACTCCCATCCCCTTACCGTAATAGGTACGAGTCTGTCTTGATAATGTATGTTACAGTCTCTTTTTTCTGAGGATAAATATGTTATATCCTGTTTAAACAAAACTTCTTATTTGGAAACAGCATGCATGGAACATATATGTTTAAAACATTAATACCTGCACATACTTTCGAAATATTACCCCCAAAATACATGTGAACAAAGGTCACCTAAAGGTGAGACAAGTGGTCTTTATTTGAGCCGCGTCACGACAAAACCAACATAATGGGTTTGCGACCAGCATGGATCCAGACCAGCCTGCGCATCCGCGCAGTCTGATCAGGATCCATGCTGTTCGCTTACAAACCCTATAACAAGTAGAGAAGCTGATAGCGAACAGCATGGATCCTGATCAGACTGCGCGGATGCGCAGGCTGGTCTGGATCCATGCTGGTCGCAAACCCATTATGTTGGTTTTGTCGTGACGCGGCTCATTTGTAGTTTTCTCTTTTCTACTTAATCAATGTATATTTGTTGAAGAGTGGCCTATTTAGAGGATCATCTTTATTTTAAGGTGGTCTTTAACGCAGGTTTAACTATATATACTATTTACCTATACATTATGATACACGATAAATAGTTGTCTCAAAATTATCGAGGAATAAAGTGCTATATCATTCCATTCGAAGGAAGAGGCATCAATATTGTCCATTTATCCATACATAAAATTGAAATTGTAAACACAAATAACCCGGCATAGCAAAGATTACAACACGACAGTTTCAGTTAAATGTCGGCTGTGTGCTCCATCACACCCTAAAGGAAATCTTTCACACAGAATACCGAAGGTGAATGGCACACTGTGTAGCGAAAATGTTGGGTAGTGCCGAATACAGATACCGTGGCTAAAATAATGACACACTGTATAGCGAATAGTTTGGCTAATGCCGAATAGAGCTCCCTTGACCAAAATAATGGTCATCAGGAAAAGGACAACGAAAGTTGTTCTTGACGATAGAAAGAAAAGCAAACTAAAACGAGACAATATTTCTGGTACTGTTTTTCTTATGGTAGATGATTCTGGATGTTTTTCACTTTTGGTTTATTCAAACAAAGCTTCTTAGAGATGTTCTGATAATTAAAAAACATCTATTTATACTCGTATTAGTTAATTTTGACTCATCTCCCACCCTCCACAAAAAGGAGGAGTTACCAATTATGTTTCAAAGAATATATAATTTCTATATATCATCTTTTATAGAGCTTAGTCAGAACTGACAACAAGGGAATAGACAAAAATAAATATATGTTCTCAGAAAGCTAAAAAATTGGATTTTTTATTTATGTATTTATTTACCTATTTATTTATTTATCTTTTTCTGCAAAGACAGGCATAGTGACGCGCGAATAAACAGATAGATAGCAAAGTAAAAGAACACAAAGACAGACAGTAAACGGACGGACGGACAAAAATACATTTTGACACAGACAGACAGATAGCATTTTGTTTCAAGACGAACAAAAAAATCTATTGTATTGAAACTTATGTTTTGTCATCATAAAGTTTGATTATAAAATTTACTCCGAATACAGCTCCTCATGAAATTGGTAGAATACTTATCGGTGTAAAGGGTCGAATAGATTCACAATGCGCTATCAATAAATTGCACCCTTTGGTGTTCTATATGAAAAGTTTCCAATTCGGTGTGACACAGATGATCTTAGGACAGATTTGTTGTTTCCTGTTCCGTTGTCGTGTTCCAAGAGTGATTTATTAGTGAAAGAAAGTCTAGAAAGGATACTTACATCGAAAGCAGCAGAACTTTATGGTGAAAGTTGCATACTGGGTTTGATTGATTGCTGATATATGATAATGTATGTTTGAATATATAGATAAATAATAATGATAGATCAGAGTCTTTCACGTCATGGCTAAATAAAAGTGTTGACAATCCTTAACATAATGGCTTGAATTCCATGTATCCGTTGTCCGTTTGCGACAACTCGATTATCGGACAAAAGTATGGTGGCTGATTTGGAACGCATTTATGCATTGTGTTGGCGCTACCGGCAACAGGACAAAGCGCCAAACGCCAAAGACGATAATAACAACGCAACGCGCAAATCAGCCACCATACAAAATTTAAAGATGTAGATATTTTATACCCAGGGGCCCCATTTCGGAACCCGAAATTTGAATGTGTCCATTCTGGTTTGAACTTTTCCTTTTAATATATCCGAAATCTGAAACAACAAATCTGGAATTTCAAATGATGAAATCGCATCATATTTAAACTGAAAACATTTTATAATTGATAAGCATATAATTTAAAATGATTTAAATTGAAAAAAATTTAATCTTGCCCAGAATTCATTGATAAATTTTGAATCTAATAAATTCTTTTGTCTTTAAAAGGGTTGTTTTGTTTTAAAGATAATGTCAACAAAACCGGACGAATACGTACAATGTGTCAGATCCGACAGATAGAAGTATATGTCTATATTCCTTTATATGGAATCAAAGAATTGACGATTTAAACATACATTACTGGTTTATAACTGGTTTATTAAAGATAAGATGAATATATCTACACCCTCAGCATGAGCTCCTAAGCCGATCCACTCTTGAAAAATAACGTTAATTGTATTTTCATAAAATTATTGAATAATATGGTCATTGTTTGATGATAGTTACTTACATCCCCGAAGTGCCAGTGTTAGTGATATTATATAAGAATAATCTAATATAAAGATTTTAAATAAAAAAAATAAAATATTGAAGAATACCTACTTTAAGTAAGGAAACCAATAAAGAAATCTATTCTTATTAAACAATGACAAAAATTATCAAAATAAAATATTTTTCATGGATCATTCAAACAAATCTAAATTAATGTACATATATTTTAATGGGCCCTATAACTCACAAAGGTGCTGGTTTTGTTATAATAACCATCTAAGACTTTGTAATTAATATATAAGTTGAAAATGAATATGTTCTCATACGAAATGAACAACAAACTAGGATAATTTTTTGCCAAGTGCGGTAACAATTTCAAGTCATTGCTTAACCTTACCCTTTAAGGATTGCTGAACATGCTTCAACTATTGTTTAGATATTTTTTTCTGGTAAATGAAGGTATTAAATCCATAATATAGGACATTTTAAGGCTCTTGGCCTATATAGGTCACTATAAGGAGGTTTATGTTTCAAGAAATGATTAATTTACTTACTTTGTTTATCCTGGAACAAAATAGGAATAGTTGTCTTCTTTGAGTTAAAACTTTAAATGCCTTTATTGTCATAAACATATACTAATACTTACCATTTCACAAGTAAGAACTAAGAATGTAATCCTTAGTTACATTGCTTTATTTCATAATACTCTTGATGACGGGATTAAAATCCTGACGCTATAAAAGTACATATTTTCTAAGCTTGTAACTTGAAGCCACATAAGTGTTGTCAAATATCTAGAATTAAATTTAGAGACAATTTTAAAGAACGACCTGTTCTGGGGAAAATTGTCGTGGAACCTATGGAAACGCCCGTCAAGCATTGTGCTACACGTATAAGGGAGACAATTGTATCAACAATATGGCAGTCCAAGTAAATGAGTTTTCTCCCTTTAATTATTAAAATATTCCCTTTAGTACTTTTTATATTTTTATCACATTATTTTTCTTTTAACTTTCATAAATTAACTGGTGGTAAACAACTTCAAGCATCTTTATCAAGTGGTTTATAAATAAGCAAGTACATATTTTCTAAGCTTGTAACTTGAAGCCATATAAATGTTGTCAAATATCTAGAATTAAATTTAGAGACAATTTTAAAGAACGACCTGTTCTGGGGACAATTGTCGTGAAACCTATGGTCACCCCCGTCAAGCATTGTACTACATGTATAAGGGAAACAATTGTATCAACAATATGGCAGTCCAAGTAAATGAGTTTTCTCCCTTTAATTATTAAAATATTCCATATTTTTATCACATTATTTTTCTTTAACTTTTATTAATTAACTGGTGGTAAACAATTTCAAGCATCTTTTATCAAGCGGTTTATAAGGCATGCGATTCCCTGGGTAGAACCAAGGACCCTAAGTCATTAGGTTTTTCAAAAGACAATAGGCTGGTACAATAATTCTTCTTATTCACAGAACAAAACCTTCATATTGGCAATACATAAGCATGATAAGTCATGCATATCGTAATCTTCTGCACGGTCTATTGTTTACATGCTGACACTTGTACAACTAAAATAATGATCGGATTTTAGTAACGGTCGAACATAGGAAACGATGTTTTATATCATCTAATCTTGTCTGTAAATGAAATAAAGAAAATCATAAATTAGTAGAAGTAAAGGTTTAATTGTATAAGATGCACCTCAGAAAGACCATAAAAGTAGTCCTGAAAACGATGAGTATTTTGAACTCGGAAACGTAGCCAAGCTGTTGTATTGATAAATCCGAGCCCATACTCTCTCCCCAACGTTACAGCGAATAATGCCGGAGTTAAACCCCTGGTCTGGCGTCAAAGGGTATTCACATGTCCCTACAGCGTACACACGAAAGAGCACCGCGCCCTCTTTGACAATCTCAACTTCTAGTCTGTTCTGGTGCAAGCTGTATATGGCCGAACTGAACAAATATATCCCGCTTACTGGGCACGTAAACATATGCGTTTTTGTGTCAAATCCTTGTCCGTCGTTAATTATTACATTATCAAATGGAACGATTAAATACGTAAATAAAGAGTTCACGTCTGTTGTCAGAAACGCTGTAAAAGCGACGTGATTAACGTTACTTCCGGTAGAGATAGTACTTGGCGTTACGGTAGCGTTACGGTAGCTGGAGGTTTCATTTCATAATTTACGTCATTTTTAACGCCGGGCTTATTTTCATTCAATTGTAAAAAACGGTGCTAGCATTATTTCTTAGATTCAACGACAAGGTAACTGATCATCTTGAAATGCGTTTTTATCTTGCGCATACGGATATTTAAGATCATAAGTGTAAAGAAAAGATAAATCAATTTCAGCTTCTTATGACTGACGACATCTAACAAAACCACGTAACTGATGTGCAAATACATGTGATTCCCTTTCGGTCTACAGATGGCCACAAACATTGGTCCTCTCCTCCGCTTAGTGTTACTTCCGATAAACATCGTGGACAGATAAATAATCGGTTTTCTACGGGCTTTTATTTGTTTGATTTTTATCTTCAATTTGTTTCGTTGTTGTTGTTTTTGGTATTTTTTGTCTGATAGAGGTTATTTTTATGCTTTTAAAGATGGTATTCATTTTATAAAAATAATGCAGATATATGGTAGCTCAATTCCTCGGAAAACATATTTACCAAAAAACATATTGAGTTTTTAATTATTTCCATGATCAATATAAAATGAATGGTTAGATCGATTTAAAAGTGTACCTTTCTTCTGTTGCGACATTTCCAGACGTAATGACATGTTCCCATGTTCTGATGAGACATTTTGTGTTACACGATATTTATCAAACGATTCTGCAGTCAATATATCGTCATCAGACAGCAAAAATGTGAGAGCGTTTTCTGTCACCTGTAAACGTTTATCTACATCTCTTAACAAGCTGAGATCAATTCTTTGAAACCGAGCTTGGTTCGTTTCATCGTGCGCTTTCACATCATCCATCTGCTCTCCAATCTCACCAAGCTTGTCTTTTAACAAAATGTTCCGTTCTTTAACACCGCTTAGTTTAGAGCCAACATCACCAAATTGTTGAGCTAAGTCCGTGTCGAGCTTTTTAAACTTCGTTTTCAAATCCTGGAGCTTAAACAAAACCGACTCCTTCATGTCATCAGTAACATGTCCTGACGCGGATCCCGCACAGTTATTTAAAAAGTAAAAGAAAAGCGCATATAAGAAACGAAATTCCATGTTTTTCAGCATAGAACTTGGTCGTTTTAATGAAAAAAAAGTTGTTACTCTGACAACCAAGAAGTGATAAGGAATACTTATAGATTAGGATATAGTACTGCACGATATTGCAGGTTAAAAATTGATGACATTGAACCACTGGAATCGGCGTAGTCTTTCGATTGGTCGTTTCCGTAGCCATAGTTGTCAGTTGACCTCTAAATCAAAAAAAAAAATTAACATAATATAAATGGGGTAGAAAAAAAACTTTGATTTAAATGGAAATTTATGCAAAAACTGTATGAGCCGCGTCCCGACAGAACCAACATAATGGGTTTGCGACCATCATGGATCCAGACCAGCCTGCGCATCCGCGCAGTCTGATCAGGATACATGCTGTTGGCTATCAGTTACTCTACTTGTAAAAGGGTTGGTAAGCGAACAGCATGGATCCTGATCAGACTGCGCGGATGCGCAGGCTGGTCTGGATCCATACTGGTCGCAAACGCACTATGTTGGTTTTGTCGTGACGCGGCTCGTATGAGTTTTTTAAAAAACTCAAGAGAGAAGATGATTATAAATTGCTCCTGCTATATAATGGAAAAAAGTCAAGAAAATAAAAACCTTGACATGGGTGATTTTGAAATGCTTATTAGTTAATTCTTTAAATCATTTATGCTTCCATATGTTTAACTTGAGTTCAAAAGTATATCATCATATTCAAGGGTCTTTTTCTAATTTGCAAGGTCTACTTTAGTTAGGGGCTCTTTTCCTACACAAATTTACTCAGTATCAGGCAGACCCTTGAATCTACAACGAATATGTTTTTTTCTTATCGATATCAGAAGAAAACCTCGTAAATGTTTTTTTACAAATAACCCAATAATAGATTTCGTTGCTATTCTTCTTATATATCATCATTTTGATCACAAGAGCTCTATTAGGTTGCTAGGGTTGCTTTTTGCCACTTTATTCTGGCCAAGTCACCGACCGGACTCTATACGAAATGATCCCTATAGTGGGTGACCGTGCTTTCACTTATTTATATGAAGGACAAACATTTTGATGTACAAGTCAATGTACGAATTTTTTAACTTGCTTTATGCGCGTAATATTATACGAAATATATTAAATGGATTTTGAAAGTACAGTACAGTACAGTACAGTACAGTACAGTACAGTACAGTACAGCACAAAAGAGTTTAAGTCGAGCATTAAGTATAATCTAATTGTTAAGTCGTAATACTTCATTTAGAACGTGTTGACCGGTCTTAGAACTATCCACTTAATTAATAGCACTAAGTGAGAAAAAAACATGACCTTTTTATAATTGTTTTTGCCTATTTCGTATGAACCAATTTGTAATTTTACATGGGACCCCTCAAGTAGGAAATTGAAGCTCTACCGCCAGGACATCTACCCGATTGAGCCTTATATCAAATTAGACCTTATTGCAACGCAAGCAGCGTGCCTCCAGATCCATGCTAATTTTCAAAGTAAAATATTGTGAAGCAACCAATTTCACATTCCAAACAGCACTCAAAGCCAACCAATATACCAAAATAAGGTAAAAATATTCAAAAATACATGTAGTCTTTTCTGCGTTATTTAGTTATAAAGACTGAAAAATCAATCATTAATCGCACATAATATGTAAATCATTATTTAAATCTTGAATTTTCTCTTTACTTTTCCTAAAATCCGATTATATTTTTTCGGCGTGATTTTAGCTTATCACGTGGCATGCAGCTTTATATTCGGTTAAACTTGTACTTAGACAAAATGCACGTGCATATCTAATGTATGCATCAGTCAAGGATTCTTCCGCATCAATCAACAAATATTTAGAGTCCTACAAACCCCTCACCTCCCAAGACTTCTCTGTGAATACATTTTACGCTAGAGCCTTAATAAAAATGCTTCATATTAATACAGTGACAATGTGACCGTCAAGGTCAAATTTTGAACACTCACGTGGTATTGACTGAGCGGTGATATTCTGTTTTATAACCAGAATGGGATATTTGCCATTTTAAAGGGACTTCACTGTGTTTTCCTGACATGACGGGACTGGATTTTTTGGGGATTAATGCTCCATTTGATGCAGGTATAGACCAATTATTTGTATGCAACATTTTAGATCGTTCCTTTACTTCTTTTTCTCAGAATAGTTATCCATATTGTGCAAAATGACCCAAAGTTGATTTTTTTTCTCAAATCGGACTAAGAATAGCATGAAATCTTACATAAATTCCAATTTAATCTGAGCATATTTCTTGATCATCTTTTGCATATCTTTGTGATTCAAGTGCCCCAGATGAACTATATACATGTAAATAAATTAAAATTGTATGTTTTAGGCATTATGTCTTCAGTGGAGTTCCTTCAAGGATACAGAGCAAAACAAAAAAGACAACACAACTTTTATATCGTTAGATCTTGTTTTATTGTTTAATAGTTGACCTTTTTTTTACTTTGTTATTGCATATTTATTTTCAATCAGTTATGATGTTACTTTTTCATATTCAGATATAATAAAAATTACATATTCAACAGTTTAGGGTTTTTTCTATTTTTTTTTCTCGTGTAAGGCAGATTCATTTTAAAAGAACTTTCAGATTGCGTCAGTGTATCTTGTTTAACAGTAATCAAAATGTTTCAGTTATGTTTTCGGTATTTCGTGCACATCAGATCAAAGATGGTGCTATTTTTGTTCATATCTTAGATGTTACAAGTGTCATTTGTTTTTTGGTAGTTTAAGCCTCTTCCTCTCCTTCTTCCTCATCGAATTCTCCCTCCTCCTCGGCGGTGGCATCCTGGTACTGTTGGTATTCAGAGACCAAATCGTTCATGTTGGATTCGGCTTCAGTGAATTCCATCTCGTCCATACCCTCACCAGTGTACCAATGCAAGAAAGCCTTACGACGGAACATAGCGGTGAACTGTTCGGAGATACGCTTGAAGAGTTCCTGGATGGCGGTGCTGTTACCAATGAAGGTGGCGGACATCTTAAGACCACGTGGTGGGATGTCACAGACAGCTGTCTTGACGTTGTTGGGGATCCATTCAACAAAGTAGCTGCTGTTCTTGTTCTGGACGTTGAGGAGCTGTTCATCAACCTCCTTCATGGACATACGTCCACGGAACATGGTGGCAACTGTGAGGTATCTGCCGTGACGTGGGTCGCATGCAGCCATCATGTTCTTGGCATCGAACATCTGTTGGGTGAGCTCGGGGACGGTAAGAGCTCTGTACTGTTGACTTCCACGGGAGGTAAGTGGGGCGAATCCTGGCATGAAGAAGTGGAGACGTGGGAAGGGGACCATGTTGACGGCCAATTTACGGAGATCGGCGTTCAACTGACCTGGGAATCGGAGACAAGTGGTGACTCCAGACATGGTGGCAGAGACGAGATGGTTCAAGTCACCGTATGTTGGGGTGGTGAGTTTCAAGGTTCTGAAGCAGATATCGTACAAGGCCTCGTTGTCAATGCAGTATGTCTCGTCGGTGTTCTCAACGAGCTGATGGACTGAGAGGGTAGCATTGTATGGTTCAACAACGGTGTCAGATACCTGGAATATATAACAAAATAAATCATGAGTACATGCATTAACCGATTATTGTTCTTATAAAGTTATCAAAATGTTTTTTAGATTTCCTGTCTAATATGATTCTTATATCATAGGTGATTATTTAATTTAACATAGCGGTATATGAGGACGGTTTTAGACATATTACAAAAAGCCGGGATGCTTCTGAAACTTAAAAGTATACGAATCGAAATTCTGAGCTTACCTTTGGAGATGGCACAACTGAGAATGTGTTCATGATTCTGTCGGGGTATTCTTCACGGATTTTGCTGATCAAAAGTGTTCCCATACCGGAGCCGGTACCACCACCAAGTGAATGTGTAAGTTGGAATCCCTGAAGACAGTCACAACTCTCAGCCTCCTTTCGTACAACATCTAATACAGAGTCTACTAATTCGGCACCTTCTGTGTAATGTCCCTTAGCCCAGTTGTTTCCGGCACCGCTCTGTCCGAACACAAAGTTGTCTGGTCTGAACACCTGTCCGAATGGTCCAGATCTGACAGAGTCCATGGTTCCGGGTTCCAAATCAACAAGTACTGCTCTGGGTACATATTTACCACCTGAGATAAAGAAAACAAGACGTTATTTTTGAAAATTAATCTAACTTACATGCATATCTTTGATATGTGATATCTAAAGAAGTTAAGCATTCATTTTGCTATATGTATATATATATATATCTTGTATTTAAAAACAACGTACAGCAAAATACTACTTTATGATATGCTATTAAATGAAATAACTATATAGGTACAGAAAATTGAAAATTTGCTTCGGTCACTTTTATTGTACTTGATATACTATTCTTTATTTACTTCGTTACTGCCGCAACGGGATACCTTACCTGTGGCTTCATTGTAGTAAACGTTGATTCTCTCGAGCTGGAGGTCAGAGTCTCCGTGGTAGGTACCGGTGGGGTCAATACCGTGCTCGTCGGAGATGACTTCCCAGAACTGAAGAATAAAACAGTCAGCGTATAAGTTAAGGGCAAATATGAACAAGCATCTTTCGACGAAATCTTTATATTCTTTGAATTATTTTGCTTAAGATGTATGTAATTATTCTGACGGATCTTGATAGAAATATCTTAGGTAGCTTTATTTATGTACTGAAACATGAAAAAGAAAGTCATGACAACTTTTATCTCGATTTTTCTCATATGTCTTATGTTCAGTAATTCAAATGAATAATTGACAGAATTGTTTTCAATTTTCAATATATACCTTAATATGTGTTATGACGGGGAACCACGGAGTTCCAAGTGACCGTTGTTGAACAAACTTATGATTTTATTTGATTTGTTTAAATCTAATTGATACTATCGGGCTCAATGCATGTAAATGAATATATACTTTGTCTTTATACTTTGTCTCGGTAACTGTAGGGTGCTTGTTCTATATGACAAGTTTAAACTTAAATATGCATTATCTCGAAAATAGTTATAGTCAAAGTCAAACTATATTGTTTTATACTGTTTAAGTATTTACGAGGTCCACCTATTGTAAACACTTGAAAACCCATTAAGTATAGCCTTCAGAATATTTATTAGCATTGTCGTTATGCAGATGTTTCTATTTGTATATTATGCTGCACTTAACATAGTTTGTTTTGTATATATTTAAATAAAAATTTGTTTGATATCACTTAAAAATGTTAAAATTTCAAAAGCACTTTAGGACTAAGAGCATATAATTTTCAAGTGTGCGTGTTCCATTATACGATTCCTGTCTATATTATATTTATTTAAACACAACTAAAGTTTATCTGCGAATTAAGCAGTTTTTTTTAAATTATTATAAAAAAAAATTATAATCATTAATTGGCAGCGTTATATTTATCTACGAAGTCTTCTATTGTCTTGTATTCCGATTAAAGTTATAGGTTTCCATTCACACGACATTGATCATGACCTTTTGCTGGTAGCCCGCCAAATTAGATTGATATCAAGACGACAACAATAAGTTTTAAAAATGTATTCGGCAGAGTATTATTGAATTGTGCACGATTTTCAATATAATTAATTAATGATACGTATTTCCCCCGCGCAGTTTTAAATCAATACGATAATGAACAAATAGAATCAATTGGTTGGATACATATATTACGGATCCGATTTCAAATATCTGAAAACGTGCCGGTACATACAATCACAATGGCGCGCGCCCAGCAAAAGTTTTTTTTTAAACTTCGACTTAGTTAAAGAATGAACTACGGAGTATAAGTGATGGCGTAAATATAAAAATGGTCTTTAGGTTGCCTTAATCGGCCATTTATATATGCATATATTTTTATTTAAAATTAATAGGAACTCTTTTGTACTTAGAAATTATTTTATGAGATGCATTACTTATGTAAAATCAGTAATCGGTTTTAGGGAATTTGCATTAGTTCGGGCCGCTAATTTTAAAACTACAATGTATTCGACTTTCATGCGTCTCTTGTTGCAATGACATTTAAACGTAAATTTAATGTCGTAAGTGATAATAATACCGCAATGATTTCCTCGTTAGGTTCTATATTAATATCATTAGTTGTTCTTAAAATCTAAAACAGAAACAAATCCAATTATGCAACAAAAACCTATCAAGATTCGTCGATCAATTTACAATATATTCGTATCTTTTGTTCATTAAGAGCAAAATAACCTTGGCATGGTTTTTGCTTTGTAATAAAAAAACAAAACTGCATTGAATTTTATTTGTATTACAACATTGTTAAACAATGTTTAAGTATATCGCTAAATTTAAATTAAATAGATCCAAGGACCCACATCTGCTACAAAGTATATTTGTTATATTGAATCATACTTAAAAGCTATGTACATGTGTACATGCATATAGTGTAACGTGTAATTTTAATACATTGTAAGTTAATTATAGAGTACGTATAAAACACCTTGCATTTAAAAAAAAACAACACAATATCAAAGCTCAATAATAAATTTAGATATTTTACTGCCGCATTAGTTCCAAGTTACTTCAAACTATTCCCAAATGCCCGGATTAAATCTGATTAAATCGCCAGAAAATTTAATGTTTGTAAACTATCATCATATTTGCTAATTTATTTTCGGATTAATACAGATAATCTTATAAGCAGCTTAATGCCAGTTTACATGTACACTGCTATTATTCCTTAACATTTTACTGTTAGATTAAAATTTAAATTCGCAATCCAAAGTTTCGAACCCGACACCCGTAGTTACGGTAAAAGTTTTCAAACCAAACATTGCATAGTTACTGTGAAAGGGCAAAGTTCGATATGTAATTAAGAAAATCAATCAGCTTTTTACTGAGTATTTAAAATCAAATTATTATGCCAACTATATTTTTTTAATAAAAAAATAAAATAATGAACCCAAAGTGCAAGATTTAAAGTTATCTTTCAAGTAATATTGCGAGATATACTACAGGTTTTTGTTAATCGGTTTAAGATTGTTAAGTCGAATTCGAGTGTCGATTACATCGATATCAAGATCAAACATGAAAACAGAGCCGGTGGAAGATCCTTACAAATCCTTACAAATTGAACAAAAGAAATCGAGATTTACGATTTCCAATTTTCTAAAGATTCTACTTATAAATTTCTAAACATTTCGCCAAGCGTCAGCGATTTACCTGTTTATATTGTCTCCAACAGTCAATACACAATTTTTAGTTGTCAAAATATAGAATCGAAGTTTATGGGGTTTTGTTTGTTCGTTCTTTTTTGTTTTTTTAGTCGATCATACGGTAACCAGGTTTAGCTATTTACGTGTGTCCGCCATCGTTTTGTTAGATTAGTCATACACAATGTGTCATAGATAACAATAGTTGTCTACATGTTTTCAAATGTAATCAGTATACGTCCGTTATATTATTATACATAGTATAGTAACTAACGAAACAGGTTATATCTTTATCACACACCACTTTAAATTTTCATTTTCGCCAGTACACATTGAAGAGATAACACAGTTAAATGTTCACTATGCATATTTTAACCTTCTGTCTACATGTACATAGTACAACAAATAAACAATATACATTATAAAAAAAGAGCAATTCTTTTTTTTCCTTTTTTTCTTTCTTTCTTTAAAAGTTTTTTTTATAGAATCTACATTACGAAGTATGAAGGAAAAAAAAGAAAATTATGAAATGGAATGTTTTGAAAAATAGGTAAAAAATGTACTTACTTTGGCGCCGATCTGGTTACCGCACTGGCCAGCTTGTATGTGCACGATTTCTCTCATTTTGTCTGTTTGTCTGTATTTTTATTGAACACTGAAAATTGTAACTTCCTCTTCAAGTTCTTTCTGCCTTGTAGCCTTTAGTAACAGCTCTCTCGTTATATATACCCGTTTACACAGAGCCTCGTTTTCGAATTTCCGAAAAGTTCCGTATACAACCGTAACTAACAGATTAACTTTAATTCAAAATGCGTCATAATATATAATCGATCATATAAGTTCGTAAGGTTGAATCGTAAATGGACGGAAATTGCCGAATGGCATATAATTCGTTATCGTGTATCATATCTACAAAATTAAACATTAGTTTCTATATAGATAATTACTGTATTTTCAAGATATAAATGGGCAAATCATTTCGTGTTTTGATGTAACTATGATAGGTCAACGGATCGGCATATCTAAATCTAAAAACAATGTTTAATACATATATATCAATGCACCCTTGCCGCGTTCTCGTCACGCCATATTTATAATCGGAAGGATTAAAATTACAGATTACATTGTACTGTTTATACACTATTAAATGGTTTTATTTGATAACAAGGTATTTGAAGCCGGGATTTATACAGATCTGTTCTTGAGATCAGCGGATTTCTGAATTGTGTATTGACCACAAGCTTGATATATTTTCAAATATCTCCTCAATCATTTTAAACCAATATAGACCATTATCGAACAAAACTGTTTAAATACACCGTTAAGCATTCATACTAAAGTTGTAGATTTGAATGTTTGAACACTTATGATCTGCAGTGAATTGTACAAATAAATTTCACTAAAAGATAATCAATGACTGACTGGATATTTATTTTGTTCAGATATGAAATATTACATTGATATTTTATACAATGGTATATCTATTTATTGCCTAAATGCTTTGAAATTCGACACAAAAAATAATAGAATAGTGTAAAACATTTATTTAACGGAATGAGAGAATCGGCGAATTGGGCCCTTGACTCCCAGATATACATGTTTTCAAACAATAAACAAACATGGTTGCAATGACTGCTTGAAAAATTCTTTTCACAGTTTTCTTAAGATCTGTTGAAGATTGATCGAAATTATTTTTCTTTGTTAAAGTGACGTTATGCACATACTTTCATTGTCAAGTTAAGCTTAATTGACTATACATTTCAAAAAAAAGTTTGACTGTTATAATAGTGTGACCAATTGTTGATATTGGAATAAGGTTGATATAAAGACAGCCCAAATATTTTTTTTATAAATTGAACATTACAGGTATACGTTCCTGTGGATATGGATATGTACACAAATGTCCTTGGGTCACTGAAGTAATTTATCCTTCATGCCAAGTAAATTATGAAATTGAAAAGTATTATGAAAAAATGTTAAGTTATTTTGACTTTCACAATTTCACTCACTATATACCCTCGGATTGGCATAATGTCACCGCTTACAATGTTTAATCTATTTAGGAAAATGATGTAAGATATTAGCTGTATATTTGTACATGATTCATTCGAGAAAACGAAAGTGAAATAAAAAAAATAGAAATGACGTGCATAAACTATATCCCCAATTACCACTGTTGTCTCCTCTATAAAAATAGAGATAACCAACACCACCACCACAACAACAACAACAACAACAATGGCAGCCGCAGCAACAACAGCAACACAACCATTGCCAGCTCCAGATCCATTAAAGTTGAGGAGAAATGTATTGACAGTTTGACCTCAAGTATGAACTGACATATATACAATACCTGGAGAATAAAAATATTTTGTTTCAGCCTGGGTATATGTATACAATTTTATCTGAATTTGATATATTTTATATAAAGTCTTTCAAAATGTTCTTTATTCTACTGTATTTTATCATTAGTCATAAGGTTTTAGTTTATAATCATAATTAGTATTTTATCATGCTTGTTCCTGGTTGTTGTTTCACTCATGACAATATTTATGTTATTAGTACGTATTTACAAAATTAAATTGGTCAGGCGCGGCGCAAACACTAAATGATATTGTTTCTCGTTTGGTACCATGGGATATGCCGTGTATTTATATACTGAAATAAATAAATAACTTATTTGTAAAAAAATAAATATAAGCTCCCTGAGTGACTGACTGACTGACTGATTAACTGGTCTAAAGCTAAAACAAACCCCAAGATAAACGAATATTAAATGTGATATATTATGATATGCGAAATTTCGAAAACTTGACATATTTGCGATCATTTCTACTTCAACTGTATTGATTTAGAGTAGATCTACGTCGTAACCAAACTAGCTTAGATTTATGTATGTATAAAATATGCTCCAGTGAAAATATACCTAGTGTATTGATTGTATTTTTTTAAAAAAAAAACACCTTTAAGTATATGAGAATATATAGTGTTCTTATTCATTGTTTACAGGGCTGATTGAAAGTGTAAGCAGCTTAAATGTTTAAATGTTATGCCATGTTATACCATGTTCAGAAACTGTAAAGTGTAGTAATGGTGGTACTTATGAAAACGTAGTTGGAATTTTTAAAACGGTTCGAACCCACTGTCCCTTGGGCATTGGCGGTTTTACACTGCTAAGGGTGTCCTAGCCTGCTTCAAATTTCAGCGACTAATCCAACTCCTGATACACTGTTTCGTGCCAGTGGTAAATGTATATTATGTTAAGTGACAAAACAGTTGAAAGTAACGTCACTATGAGCTTAATTTTAACAACAAAACTGCAAATGTGCTTTATTTTGTATAATTCACCATTTTTCCACTAACCTATATAAATTATAATGCTTATTAATTATAACATAATATCTAAACCGATATCAGTTTTTTTCTTTTTTTTACTTTATTCTTTTTATTTTTATATTTAAAAAAAAATATCTCTAGGCGTGCACCTTTAACATTATTTAGCACGTCTACTCTCCTTTGACGACGACTGAAAAACACTTAAACAGATAAATGTATATAAATATTAAATATGAAAACCATAAATCAATGCTTTGAAATCGCAAAAACCGCATTGCATAGTTTATCATATTTTCATTTTAACTACCATGTTTAAACTTTGAAATTACATACTATGTACAATTCATTTATATTTGTAAACATTAATTTATTACAATAAACAAGTCTCGATCAAGCCGGATCGGAATTTAAATTAAACCGAACAATACATGACATTAAATTCATTATATTGGTACATCTATACATTCATACAGGATTGAACAATATAATAAATTTGAACATTTTAGTATCAAACGGTTTGGTGATAAGAAATTTGCAAAGTATTGCATGTTTCCCGTTGGTTTTGGCAATGTTTTTATCGGTCAAAAAGATAAAGAACATGTTAAAATGGCATTTTTTTGTATAAGTCATATCTGGGACTTAATGTCCCTGATCTCATCTAAGAAATGTATGGATGATCGTCAGTGCTACGCTGTTTTTCGCAGGAAGTAACTGTCATTGTTTTAACACAAAGTGGTATATCAATTATAGATATTTTTGATATCAGACAACAAGAAAAAAGCTGAAAACCAGCCATGGAAAAACAATAACTGCATTATCATCATCATCACCATCATCATCATCATCATCATCATCATCATCATCATCATCATCATCATCATCATCATCACCATCTTCACATTATCATCATCATCATCAGCAGCAGCAGCAGAAGCAGCAGCAAGAACAACAACAACAACAACACCAAAAACAACAGCAATAACAAATATCCACTATTCTGTAATTTTTTCTCTTTCCATTGTGTCTATATCTATGTGCAATGTATGCAGGTATAAGGAGAAATATCAAAATTGAGATATTGATTTTTATAAATATCTGAATAATTTATTACAAAAAAATGCAGATTAAAGTTAACCGTGGGAACCTTTATGTTTGTTTGTTTGTTTGTTTGTTTCATTTTATGCCTTTTCCCAACAGTATTTCAGTCATATAGGCGGGTAGTTTCCTAACCATCGTTCCTGGAGAGTTACACCAGTACTAGACTACCTTCCTCCGCGCTAAACTACCAAAGCATATCCCGGGGATCGAACACACGCCAGAGAGGTTACTAGATTAGAAGTCATCGACTCTAACCCCTCGACCACGGAGGCGGTTGAACCTTTATGTAACAGATGAGAAAATTCATATATACTTATATACTTCTAGTAATAGCGAAATTATGATAAATGATAGTGCAGCAAATGAGTTTGCTATCAACACTATTAGACGAGTTACTTTTACACATTTTGTATGACTTTCCGATATAGCAACAAAATGGACAATCGTCGGATACTCGGATACCCACGTCTGAACCATTTACATTGTTGTGTTACATTTGTATCAACCGTGGGTATCCGACGGTGCAAAATGGAGTTACACATCCCTGAAGTCCAAGCACCCTAATGTAGTGTTGAATGTTTTAAATCAGACTTCCCTGATCGAACAATGACAGTTCAAATTTCAATTCAGAACAATACCACCATACAAATCACACAGGTCATTTTAAAAGGGCTTCACAACTGATGTCAAGATTAAGGAGTTAAGGTCGAACCTTAATGATGCGGAAAATACTTCACAAAAATTAATTATAACGTTATCAAATCATCATCAGTCGGTCAAAGATAAGATATATACTGATAGAAGAGATAGGCGATTTTTTTATTAAATCTACAAACTGATTACTGTAGGAGAATCTGGTTTCAACATGCAGAAAGGAATTTTCATGCAGACGGCGCGAATTGCCGCGAAATTTTCAGTGACAATGTCATGCCATTGACGGCTGAAACGGTTTACGTTGAACATATAACCTTTCTAACTAGGGTTCGTATCTACGAGAGAAAATATACCAGTCCATGGGAATGTTTGTTGTCGATAGTGCCAGTCAATATATATCGATAAACTGTCAATGTAATATTTGAAATAAATGTTGGCTTAACTGTTAAGATTAAAACTGTACTGAATGATTTTGTGTGCACTTGATATCCATGTGTTAACGCATGTCATGGCTGTCTATAGAATAAAATCTAGATATTATTCATAAACAGGGTAAGTTAAACGTCCGACGCTTATATCTCCGTACTCACACGCACACACCATATTTCAATTAGAGTCCATGAAAAGGCACCGTACAAAATGCAGCGTTCGCTGTTGAGTACGTAACCGGACATGTCACCAGACATGCCCGTAAAGATTTGATTTCTAAAGCACAAAGTGGGGATATACATTTTTTCACATACAATATCCACGGAATGTAAGGCAAAGATAAGTATTTTGAGCCAAAAGTAGATCACTGTACAGTGCTAAGTAAGCAACGGAACGCACAGTAAAAATGAGACAATTTGAAAAGGAGGTAGCCCTGATAAAGGCTGTTGGAGACAAGTATAAGGCCTGTCTTTCAAGACGTCACTGCGTACTTTAGAGGCTCCCGCACCCTTGTACCATTTATCCTCGTCCCTGTCAGCTTTGTAGAAGCACTCCTTCGGCTTCATTCAGGACATCGACAGCTGGTCCGCAGGTACAAGTTCTTGTTTCTATTTCTTTGGCCATTCCGAGTCTTTCAAATCTTCTGCCGATGCCCTCTACGCCGTGCACGTATCGAGGAGGTGGAGAAATTGATTATAGGTTGACAAAGTAACGACTGGATCACGTTATATGTACGATTTTGCTACATGTATATGTTTCCATTCATTTTCTAGATAACTACCATAATATGCTGTACAATAAAGAGTAAACCGTCTCAGACGCTTTTGAAATCAATGAGAAAACTCTTTGTCTTATTTCTTTTCTTTATCACGCACTCTCTGACTTTATTTACTGACATAGTGACATAAATATTTCATACATTAAATTAATATAATGTTTGATAGTTTTTGGAAATGTTCAAAGTCATGCAGATTTTGGCTAAGTGGAACGTTTTCTGCCCAGCATACATGATATACATTTATTTTATATAAAATCATTATTTTTTTCTGCAGCAATTTATGTTCATTCTCCAATATAATGTAAATCTTTGAATTATATCATGTGTTTATCTATTTATAATATTTGATATGTGTAATGTTATTGTATACGTTACGAAATAAATTCCTGTTCTGTTCTGTTCATGAACCTCTTACATATTTTGACATGGCAAGGGCTTAGAAATATAAAAAGAAACTTTCACAAACGGCAGAATTTGAACAAATAGTGGTAATTCAAAATTTCGGCAACGGCGACCCTATCTTTTGATAGGTCCTACACCGTTTTGGGGTTGAAGGTTATTTGTCAATTACAACTGATAATGTCGGAATATTACTCGTTTGCGTGTTTTACTTTAAACTATGTCTAGTCAGCCAATACGGTATTTATGATAAGTCCTTTAGACATTCTTTAGTACTTAAACATTTGGTTATCTTTATAAAGTCTACATTCATTATTCAGAAAACTTACTCACTATCAGCGCTATAAATGTAATCTGTTTCTATATTGATAAATTTCAATAAAAAACTTTAGATAAGTTTCTTTTTCTTTATTTATGATGACCAGGTCAAACCATTCTGTACCTCTGTCACATTATATCTAAGAGAAAAAACGGGATCAAACAGGAATTAGCTTAAACATAAAATACAAATGTATAGTGACTATATACTTGTATATGTATATGTGTGACTCTCGAATTTAAAAACATATTCGGATCTATAAAAATGTATTTGATTATATGGTTTGATATTTCTCCGCTGTTAAAGGTTTGCCTTGAAAACATCGGTGTTACATCATCATCATCATCATCATCATCACCACCATCATCATCATTATCATCATCATCATCATTATTATTACCATCATCAAAATCACCACTGTCATTATCAATATAATCAGTAGTAGCATTACATCGCCATTATCATCATCATCATTATCATCATCATCATAATCACCACCACCACCACCACCACCATCATCATTTTCGTCGTTGTTGCTATCATCTTAACATTATCATTTTTCATTATATAATTAATTTCTTATATTATACACAAAAAGTATCACCATCTTAAGTGGCACACAATCTAAGATAAACAGCTCCTAGACGAAATGTTAATATATGAATCAACTCTAAACCTCTTTGAGAAGAGACGGCATATTTCCATATATAGCAACAATATCTGGGCTTAATTCCTCCGAGTCCACTTGAAACCAATATAATGGGTATTTAAGTCTACAGAACTGTCCGCTAAATATCAAACGTCCATCCAAAGATCCATTTTGATGTATTGATTTGAAACAATTAAGAACCAAATATTGTAATTCTCACCGGCTCTCATGTGACGTCACTGATTGTTTTTCCTTGCATCGTCAGATCTTCTCCAGTTGTCCTCGTCAATTGTTTTAACAGGGACTTAATGTGGATAATTTCTGTGTGTAAATATAATAAAAACACGGTCATTATGTCACTGGGGATATGTATTTATATCTAGTGAACTTTTTGAGACTTTTACATGGGTTATGTTTGTTGTATATCGTCATAGGTGTTCAAAGTGGTAAGTTTCTAAATTTGATTTCATTTATTAAAGTGCATTTTCTTTGGATTAAAGATCTACTATTCAAAACCATTAGTATGGATGTTGTATTGTTAGGTTTATGTTATCTCATACGGACGTACAACCTTACAAATGTTAGTATCAGTTTAATGTTATATTCCATACTATTATTTCTTACACTTATAGACAAGTGCGCATTTTCCAGCTTTGTTCATGTTGTTGTTGTTAACAAACTCGTTTCCTTCTTTTACTTCAGGTATTGCCGTTTCTAGGAGAAGATCTTTGACTGAAGAGTCAAAGCGTGCATTGTTTGTTAGCGAACACATGAAAATAACATTCATTGGTAAGAAAATGGCGGAATTGGAAGAAAAGCTTATATGTTCAGACGGTAAGACTATTTTTCAAACATTTCCATTGTTTTTAACATATCGATTAGTAGTTAGTAGAGCAGTCAAAGAGGCTGTCTCCATGCCACCTGCCCGTGCCTAGCGTGGGTTTGAATTCCGAAAGAAACTGTCCATTCATTAGATTGATGAAGCGTATAATATTATTACCCACGTTTACTTTTTATACACACTAGGGCTGCCAATTAAGTTCATGGACAAATTTTATAAAACATCTATATTTATATCTTATTTGTATTTTTATTTTATATTTATAATGCTCATAAATGTTCTCTACAGAGAGCAAATAATTTTGTGTATGATTTTGTGTATATATATATCAATATATCTAATGCCATAAATTGTATCAAACTACTTGAATGTTGAGTTATCCGCACCTATATGAAAGTTGAAACAAATATCAAAAGTTAGGCAATGCAATTTCTAGTACTTACTTTACTTCAGAAAGTGTTAATTTAGAACTTTAAATTTCAGCTCTATGCGCTGTCAGCCAGGACCGGAAGGACCGGAAGAAACGAAACACCAGATCAGATTTAACAAATGCTCAAAATAAACAAACCGAAACAAACAAGGAAAATAAACCATCAGAACAATCCTCGGCAACAAAGTATGCTTTTGGAAATCCCGCCTTACCGAGCCAGACAAAAACACGGAACGGCAAACCGAAATCTAAAAGGCGTAAAGGATGATTTGGCAAACATGAATTTTATAACGTCTTTAGTGACTGTTTCATGGGTGTTTTTAATATACGTATATATGTGTTTTTGGTGCACTTTAAGTTCAATAAAGGGGAAAATACCGATAACTGGATACGTCGAACACAGAATAAGTTTGAAATAGTAGAATATATCGAGAACAGATAATGTCGATGAAAGTCATTCGAGACTTTTGTAATGTTTCAATGTTTTCTTCAATGTAATGTTTCAATGTTTCAACAGATTTATGTCAATGTAAATATTTTAGAATCAAATTATGACACAAAATTGTTTTATTACACACTAATAGTTCCGTGTCATATTTCAGTACATAAGCATTTTTTTACGCTTTTCATTGTACTTAACGTTTTAGAGACATATTTTATGAATGTGCGTATGAATCTGACAATTATTTTGACATAAGAACTAACTTGGTTCTTTAGAATATACTTGTTAACATTGATAAAATTTGTAGCTCATTATGCCTGTCAATTTAGTAGACTGTTGATTGCTGAATTGGTGCAAATTACGCTGATGTAGGCATCTTTTCGCTTAAAACGCCGTTGGGTACATTAGTATTTAGTTGAATCTTCATCTATTCAATTGTTTGTACATAAATGAATTAATGAGTCACTGCTTTTGAATATTATCTTGTTAATTTATCATAAAATAAACTCAAGATTTCATTTTCGATTGTTTCAAAATTTGTTTCGTGTTTGTTTGTATGTTCGTTTAATGACCTGCACATTATAAACTTTCATGATGAATGCAAAAAGCAAGTTTCTTCAACGTAGGAAAATCGGTAATATCTGTCATTGTTATCGAATTCAGAATTATTCTTGAAATCACATTTGGTTTGAGAAGGATTATAAAGTGGTAATTCATAAATTCGTATTTTCATTATAATATGCAAACATATATATAATATATGAAGCTTTGTACAGACACTGGTTGCTTAAACGAACAATAATTCAATATTTCTACACTTGAGCGTATTGATTCGGTCAACTTGTTCTGAATACAAAGTATCAAAGTACACGAAGTAATTGTGTTAAAAATAAAAATGATGCATTTGCGTACTTTTTACTTATTTAATTTACATTTGTACAAGTACAAGTTGCCTCATTCTATAAATCAAGCAAACTGTATGAGATCATAAATATATACATGTATATATTCCAAAAATAATTATATTAATTAATCATTTTATATAAAGCAGCAGGTCTCCAGATAGTACTATGAATAAAGGAATCAGTTTTACAAATATAATGATTAGCAAGCCGAAGTCAAAGGCTACCAGCACAGAAATTACACATATATAGCGTTAAAATATACGAATCAATCTCCAGGGGTATATTGCTCATAGCTTTGTTAAATTAACCGTCCGATCGATTTAACCGAGCTTTGAGAAACTGGGCCCCTGATATAAAAATGACATAGAAACGGTAACTGCGGTATATTTTGCATAAAAAGTGCATAGCAAAATTTAAGTTATTAAAACATGTGTTTAGATAATTTCATTTATTATTAAACTCAAAATATTAAAGCGAATCTTGGTTTTTACTTCTAATATACAGTACAAATCCTACTATAGAACACCTCGGAATAAAAACCACCCTGCTAATAAGACCTTTTTACATAAAAAAAATAATTTCTTGTTTTAAAGCTACAACATTATCGCTACCCTCTAACTTGTTGTCAAGTAGTTTTGACCTATTTTGTGTACATGTAAACATAATTTCAATAGCAACATTATGATCTAGATTATTTTACTGCATAAATAATTTGCAATAGCTAAATTTAGTTTGCTTATTCACCATTTGTTAATTATCAGTGATTCACATATTTGTCATGTTGAAATGAGTAAGTTATTAAAATAATATTATCTTTGAATTTTGTTATGCTGTCATTTTGTTGACCTTTCTTATTAACCTTAGAATAACTGTCCTATTTTTATATACAGCCAGAAAAAACTTAATCACACTTGGAAAAATCAACGTTCGGTTATAGAAATGAATTCGTCTCGTAATACTGCGACTGATCAAGGTCTTTCAAATAGAAAGACACTGGACTTATGCGATTCCATACTCATACAAATGTTTTTGATAATGTAAAAAAAAATCTACACAACGAAACAAAAAAATGAACCATGCTATGAAATATATGTAATACTTTATTTCTCTCCCTGTGAATAAAAAGTCATATAATAAGGATCTACTTTCGAAACATCTTCATGCGAATGAACTTATTTGACTTATTATGCAAGTATCATTTACATGCAATAAAATATAAAAGCAAATAACAGCTGGATAATAGCTTATGAGACAAGGACCTGTTTAGGTATCTGTTTTCAGCAGCTGAAACTCGCCGAGTGGATTTCTACGCCCTGTCAATAAGACCAAATCAAACAAAGTTATGAAATCTTTCAGTCGTTGACTTGGGGAAAATAAAATAAGAACGCAGATAAACGTACAAATTTCCTCCAGCGCATCGTATAAAATGTTAAAAGTGAATTCGATAATGGGTAAATAAATGGATTCTGCACGAAATTTTTTTTTCTTTTGCTTCCACGAAAACATTATGAAAAGTTGTGTGCAATTATTACTTTTTTGCTGTAGAAAATAAATAAATTATATGTGAAAAAATCCTGTTGCTTTTAGAATAAAAACAGAGCGTGTCAAGGTCATTTCAACAGGGAAAGACGAGTTTTTATTTAGATCTAAGCTATTTAATATTTTCAGAGGTATTTTTACGTAAGGAATAGCATATTTTAATTTTCATCAAGTGCGGATATAACGCGTTTTATCACGTTTTAGAACAAAGTATCTTCCCCTTATGGAATTATACAGACGTATTTCCCGATGATTTAGAATATCTGTTGATGTTTTAGAGATCCTGTTAGAATTGTATAATTCCATTTCATTACCCGGCATCAAAATGATCTCAAATTATTACGGTTTTAGATTTTAATCCAATCATTTTCTACGTGGAACTTCTTTTACTACAGTGATAAAATTAAAAAAAAATTCAGAAGGACATAGCACTTTTGTCTATTAGCTTCAACTCTAAAGTAAGATGTTTTATGCTGAAAGAGAAGTTGCATGAGTATATTTTTTGTAAATAAATAAATAAATATATTTTCCAAAATGTTACTCATTGGCTGGAACGTCACCATATGACCTATAATGCGTCGGTGTGACGTAAAAACCAAACAAACCCGCACCATGCAGCTTTTGCTGAAATTTGTAGAATCACCTTTCCTTTATCAGTAAGGGTCTGAAATCCGATAAGAAATTGCGAAATTCTTGAAATGAAAGAAACTTTCCAGCATGGATTGGAAACTGTGCCTAAATTAATTATATTTGTCATATTATGATAGAAAAATACAAATCCATCGATTAAACTAGAAAATACACATGTGTCATTTACCTGAAAATGTGACATTAAGGCAATTAGATCGGAACTTTTGTTGCTGGTATATGTTTGTTGTTGTTTCCATGTTAATTCATAAATTACGGTTTCTGTAACATATTATATTGAAACCTATTAGATGTTAACAATTTTTGTTCACAAATAAACTATGCACAATCTTAGTTCGCAAATTTCAAACTTTAAACATCACGAATTAATTGCATTTGAAATTATTTATATTTTACAATAAATATATGACTGTATATGTGGTCAATGTTCAATTCGTGAGTCCTAACATTATCTATAAAAGTAACAATGACAAACAGTAAACAGTTTGACGTATTGTTTCATCAATTTATCTGTTATATCAGGACATCAGGGTCAATATGTATTGACAGGTTTGACAAGTGTGTCCATGTACACATATGTGATAGATGACTAACTAAATCTACTAACTGACAAATAAGATAATATATATTATTATCAAGCTAGTAAAGCGCATATTTGAAATCTACATGTATATAAACTATAAAAGAGTACTTCAGGAAGTCTACACATATCATTTTCACAACGAGCGAAGCGATGCGTAAGAGGCAACTTCGTGACGATTTTTTAAACACTATTACAACAAGATAACAACAACAAAGACCCAACAATAAGAAATAGACAAATGCTTTTCAAAGAAATAGACAGGAAGAAGAAAAATGCATGCCAAATGAGGTCAGAATTTATTGAAAGATCAAATCACCGATTATTCATTCAAATGAGGAAAATATTAAAAATTATCTTCACAACATTTCCGAAAAGGATATAAAAAGGACAGTGAGACAAAACAAGAATTCCACTTTTTAAAAACCTCACCGGCATCACAACTTAAACAACCTATTCTTTTAAACCAAATCATATCATTGAACTATAATGAAAACTAACTGATGCTATAAAAACCCCAGGCAATGATTTATTCTTATCCACATAGCTTGTTAGCCAATATTTCTCTGATCATATGATATATACATTATCATATATATATAATAAATCAGACATACACGATTTGGCAAGGCCATTAATTACCCACAAAACTGCTCATAATTTGACAATAAATGTACAATATTGCCCACCATATTGTCAATCTTTTCACTATTACCGTTACACCTTTTTCAGACTTACCATATAAGACATATACATTTGTTTGTCACTCGGAACCTCTCGGCCAATCATTTTGATGCCCCTTAATCATGTAGATTTCGTCCCAAACATTTTTATTACAAATATTTCTGTTTTTGTTTTTCTGATCTGGTATTGATTTTGTTCAGTGATCGGACATAAGTGATTCTATTCACATATCTCTGTTGCAAAAATGTTGTTGTAATTAAAAAATATGTTAATTATGTTGTTAATAATCGAGTTTATTCCGATTTCAAATTGTAACCGTTGGTGTTAGTTAAAATCTTATAGACAAGATCTTAGTGATTTTATCTGCAATGTTATTATGATATTATATGGAGATTTACAAAAGATTAACAACAATTGCAACAATATGAAACTACTGACAGAAGCTGTGCAGCAGTAACACATATAAAAAGAGTTGTTTCACAAATTCATCACCACAAGAAGCAACAAAAAACAACAGTTATAACAATACAACCATCGGAATTACTTGTCCATCAGAAACTTTTGCGAAACGAGCTGTTAAATCAAAGTTTTCGTTTGACAACATTTATTGTCCTTCGAGATATAATTTAAAAGCCAGTTACCATGGATATATTCTACTAC